TACAGAAGCAGATTTCTATTCTCTAACCAGCTTTCTCTTAAGGGGATCTTTCTTTATACAGTGAGAACTATGCAGCAGAAACAAAGGAAAGCAGGCAGGAAAATTAGACCATAGTAGAGGTCTATTGCTATGAAAATACAGTGGAAAGAAAATGAAGAAATGTTGCAGTGTTTGTAAGTAAGTGATTTGGTATAGCACATGGACCTAGTCATAGAAAGGAGGGAAGTAAATATAAGGGTGAATTCAAGAAGCTGGGATGCAGGTGTGCTTGACAGCCATTATGAACGTTCGCATCTCCAAGAAAAGGGAGTTATGAAGACAGGCAGCTGGCTTTGGTCATCACTGTGTGAGCGGTGTGACTTAGGGAGGCCTTTAGATGCCAGCAGAAGTAACCACAGAGGACAATAAAGGTCATAGTGAAAACTTATCTATGGAGATATTTGGAAGAAAACAATTTGAAAGGAGAGCAAGAATGCTGTTGGTCACCTCCAGTCATGAAAGAAGATGACAGGAATTTCCAGAAAAGTGACTGAGAGTCCAGATCTCAAAAGGCCTTTATGGAAAGTTTGAGAAAACAGTGTGAGATGGAATCATACTGGGGCTGGACAGGGCATTATGTAGCTAAAGACCTTAATGATTGCCAAGTTATGTAGAGGCTGTGTGTGGTAAGTGAGTGAATGGGTTGTGGGTGAGATGAGGTTGTGAGGTGTCTGGAGATGTCTCCTAGATGAGGCAATTAGAAAACCTTCAGAAAAGTTGATCTTGATTTAGGAAGGGACTGTGTCTTAGTCCATTTTCTGTTGCTCTAATTGAATATTATAGATTGGTCAACTTATACAGAATCAAAGTTTATTTGATTCATGGTTTGGAAGCAAGCAAACTAGGGCATGGTGCCAGCCTCTCATGAAGACCTTCTTGTGGTAGCATGACAGAGGGCGTCACATGGTGAGAAAGAGAAAGTCTGCCAGCTCAGATCACTCTTCCTTTTATAAAACCACGAATGACTGCATGGGGGCCCTATTCTCCTGACCTCATACAACCCTAATGGCCTTCCGAGGACCTCAAGCCAATACATGAATTGGAGGATTAAGTTCCTACCACTTTGGGGGGACACATTCAAACCACAGGGGACTGACAAGCACAAGATGCATAAAGATCTCAGAAAAGTTGCGTCATCCAAGGCTAAAAACTCTACCATGCAACAATAACATGAGCAATACAAGAAAGAAATTCAAATTTCAAATTAGACTGAGGTTAGATTTCTCTTTCTGGCATTTTATAATTGATGATCATAATAAATCCTATGATTTTTATGAAGAGCTATGTTTCCAATTTCAACTAGGGAAAAAATTGGGCTTTTATTAAATTATTTAAATAGGTGATTAGTCAGGGAGAAAACTGATAATGTTGGTAATTGACAGACTATTATGGATGCAACATAAATATATGTTGGGCTTGGAGCTAGAGGCTAATCAGGGTATACCCACCTGCAGCTGCTGCTAGGGTGATAACAAGCCCCTGCCTGGGAGAGTCTTGTTTGTGAATCTGTAGCTCTCTAACAGACTCTTGGGTACCCAGATTCTAAGACAGTAGTTGGTGCCCTAATTCTCACTTCCTCTACAAAGTGTATAGTTCCAAACTATCAAAGTCCAAGACATCAGAGCGCTAACAATGTAGCTCTCACGGTTTAATGGGTACGACTTAATTAAATGTGCCCCTCTTCCCCCTCTGTCCCCACATCCTTTACATAACGCAAATTCCTTTCTCCCTTGCTGGCCCTGCAAGACCATCCTCCTGCTATCTTCCTCCAGAATCAGAAACAGCGTGACTACAAACAGTAAGTACCTGGGTGCCTTAGCAACCACCAACCACATGGCATGAAACCTATTCCCTTCTGTGAAACTCATAAGATCTTCTCAGAGCCCCTGCCATGTCACTGCCATCTGTTTATGGTGTTAATAACATTTCTAGTAAATTTCTTACCCCAACAGAAAATCTGCATCCATGTCTTCCTTGAGCCCCAAACATGAAATCTTTCAACACACAAGCTGAAGTATACCAGAGTGAAAACTGGCTTTAAGGCTCATGTGCCAATTCTCATCCCATGAAACAATTTCCTCTCTATCATACTTTCCGATAACCAGCCTCTGATTCAGTGCTTCCTAAGATGGTCACCCACTGGATTGTTGGGCAAGATTAGTTTTAAAACATTTTTCTTAGTTTTGAGACACATTGACCCCTACATACTCATTTTTCGGCTATGTGATAGTCTTACTTAAAAAAATATTTATCTATTTTTATTTTATGTAAATGAGTGTTATGCCTACATGTATGTAAGTACACCAATGTCATGCAGTACCCAAGGAGGACAGAAGAGGGCATTAGGATATCTTGGAACTGGAGTTACAGATGGTTGTTAGCCACCATGTGGGTGCTGGGATTTGAATCTGGGTCTTCTGCAGGAGCAGCCAGTGCTCTTAACCACTGAGCCATCTCTATAGCCCCCAGTTTTACTTTTTAGATGATGGCTACTGCTTTCTTACCAGTAATCCCCTTTAAAGCTCTCCATTTATAACATCTTTCTCATGACTTATACCTACAATTAATGACTCAACCAATGAATCAAAAGGACTTTACTTGGATTTAAATTGTCACCATCATGTGGTTGTTTGAATAATTGTCTCTGAAATCCTATTTTACTTTTACTAATAATACTTAAGGATGATTGATTTTAACACCGAAGTTCAGGGGTATGTTAGAGTTGGAATAAAAGTTTTCTTCTAGAGTAAAAGGTCAAAGTTTGTCAAAAGTTCTTGGTTGTGAGACTTGGTGGGACTTTTCTAAAATTTTTCCACAGGCTACTTTTACCATTTTAAAAAGCGACTCTATTTTTTTTTCACACTATCTTTGTATATATCTTGTGTTGGTTTCTTTATTTTAATTAAGATTTTATTTCTAAATAGGCTCAAAATAGAAGAAAAGTTGCAACAGTAATATTAAAGTAGCAAGAAAGGCCCCTTAATGGTCTGGGTGGAGGCCAAACATTCTAGTATCAGGCCACAGGACCACCCCTAGAAAAATGGGTTCACTTTAAGCATTGATGCCTTAATGAAATGGTGAACTTTCTCTGCCAAAAATCCCTGCCCAGTCCCAAGGTCAGTGTCAGTTGCTTATGTACTGGGCAGCAGCCCTGTATAATCACGTCCTTGAAAGAAACTGACTCTCCCCCTCAGCCTTGGCTGCCAATAGTTCCTCAAGCAGGGATGGTTTCTTACCCACTTCTCCATGTCTATGTTAGGGTTTTTGTCTGGTTTGAGCTTGCATGGGACTTATGCTGTCACCATTGCTGAGAAAACTCTATCCTTGTGGTCCTCCACCACCTTTGGCTATTACAATCTTTTTGTTCCCTTTTCTGCCATGATCCCTGAGCCTTAGGAGGCAGAAGTCTGATATGTGTCCTATCCAGGGATAAGTGCTCTGAAGCCTCTTGTTCTCTACATGTGTCACACATGTGTGTTTGTGTTTATCTCCATCTGGTGCACAAGGAAGCTTCTCTGGTGAGAGTTGCGAGATACATTAATCTTAAGATGATATCAGTTATCAGGTGATGTATGTTTCTTGGAGGCAGCAAATCAATGAATCCTGTTTTCTAATCCAATCAATTGGGGAGTTGAGACCATTAATACTGAGTTATTATTGACCAGCGCATTTGCCAGGTTTCTAAAGTTTTCTGATTTTAAGTTGTCAGGAGATTATAGGCACAAGATATGAAGGGACCTCGAGTTTTTCTCATTTAGGCTCTCATCTGTGGAGATATTTTAAGAAAGTTTCCAGCAGTATTCATCTAGTCTTTTGTCCACATATACATAATATAAATGCTTCCTTTTTACCTATACAAACGTATCATTCCCCATAGGCTGATAGAACTCCTTTTCTGAGGTCATCGGAAGAAATGATTAGGTGCCCCCCGGAAAGACTCTGAGATGAACATGGAAGCCTGAGGGGGAAATGACTGGTGGGGCTTGTGGACACTTGATCACGGCTCCCCAAAGGCTGAAACATTCTGGTTCCATCTCCCTTCATTTTATTAATACCTGTTCCTGACTCAATGTCAAACACACAAATGGTGCTGAGTAAATGTGTCCATAATGATTAAATGCAGATGGAATGGAAAAGTGAAATGAAAGAAAGAACACCAAACAGGAACATGGAACTGAAGTGGAGGTGTGCATGGTTTACAAACTGTGATGGAAGAAGACTTGGTCACGGAGGACCATTTGGTGGTTGGGTCTGCAAGACCTGGGTAACTGCCCAGTTGGCTTGAACTCTCCAGAGGAGACCAGAGAGCAAGGCTGCAGTAGAAGCAGTACAGAAAAGGGTTGAGGCTGAACTCTAAATAATTACAGTGGGTAACATACAAAAAGACACCTGAATAGGAGGGATGTTTGTTCGGGAGAAGGGGTTGGGCAGGAATTGAAAAGGAGATGAGAGAACCTGATAGGGTGTGTGATTATCACAAAGTAGTTTACACACATGTGTTTCATTGTGAAAGAATAAAGAAATTAAAAAAATAAAAGCAGAAAGAATTTGCTTGGGGACTTCTGGAGTCATATATAAGTTGGGATAAAAGCATCAGGCTTGCTCATTAATCAAAACAAAGGACCAGAAGCAATCTGTTCTGGTTGTTTTAAGTTTCTAGATCTCATTTTTGTTTGGGGGCTTCTTTAAGCTGCAGAACCATGTTTATGGTCTTCAAATAACTGGCAGATGTCTTGTGATTATTATATAATAGGAACCTCTATATTTCCCTTCCAAAGTGACAAAAAGAAGGCCAACAGTGTACACAGTAACATTAGAATTCAATGTACCTGGCTTTTCATAATCATGAACTTTGAAAACCAGTTTTGATTAAGGATGGTGAGTTCTTTTTATACGTTACAAGGCTTGGGAGTGGCTCCAGTCAGTACACAAGCTGAATGTAAGCAATGAATATTTTCTAGACTCTCAGGAATGGAGCACCTTGAATTTTATCATACTCCAAGAATGTAAAGGCGATGAGGTCATTGCTTCCCAGATTCCCAGTATGCCTTACCAGTCCTGGAGGAAGGATTGTTCCACCAGGAAGCAGGATTATGATGTCAGACCACAGCCTTCAGAGCTGTGATACAGAGTTTGTTGAAACCGTTCCTTGGTCTTAATGAGATTAAGATCTAGGTAAACATCTTGGGATACCCAGAGTTCTGGATGCCTGCCCTAGGACACAGTGGGCTAGGCATCTCATCCAGGAGAGGTTGCTCCAAGCCTTTCAAGATAAGAATTAATGAATGTGCTTCTGCCTCTAGAAACTCCTAAATCAGCCACTTCCACTGATGGGTTATGAAAACCTAAACTCTATAGAACATCTGCACATAGTTCTGTTTTGTCCTTGAAAATGTTCTGAACAAGCCATAGTCTCTGAAGTTAAGGACTGACCTTTTTCTACTTTGCCCTTTTCTTGTTTTCAGAAGTCAGTTCAACCTGCCTGCTCCTTTAGACTCTTGACTTGGCTATCCAAAGTGTGACAATATAACATGTGGTAGTTTAAACAAACTGCCCAACAGAAGAGACCTAAAGGTGGAGGGCAGGAATAGTGTGTTAAATGTTGCATTTGCAGCATCCAGGAATTCAAATGACTATCTGATGCCTCACTCTGGCAATTCATGAGGCTTCCCAGCTTCCTCTTCTGGAGAGGATCAAAGGAAAGAGATGGCCAAAAAGCAAGTTGAATTCTATTTAATGTGATACTTAGAAATTTTCTCCTTATACACAGAACCCATCTGTTTTCCAAAAATTGCCCTTTTACCTCAGAAAGGACTAGATACAAGATGCCATTGGAAAAGAGACACAAAAGCCTTCACCAGGGCCACATCTATGTCAAAGGTTCACAGGTCTCTCTGCATCCAAGCCCTTCCTACTCATGTCTTCAATTGAGAGAACGGAGGAGCTATTCTCAGAGGGTAGATCCGTGACTTTCTCAGAAAACGTGATCCCATCAGTTGTTCTGAAACTTTAAGAATGATTTGTATAATGTGTCCTGGACAAGACTTTAGCGTCTACAATGTCATGACTTGAAAAAGTGGCACAGATGAAGGATCTTTGGAGGGGCAAAATCAGGGACTTGTTTCTTTGGTTCACAATAAGGGAGCAAATGGCGTGAGTAGACAGAATCATATTCCAGATTGTACCATGGCAAGCAGCCACTAGAGAGTGCCCTGCAAGAACAAGAGAGCAACCAGGGGCAGCTACCTCAGGGTAGCAGTATTGGACCAGAGAGGGTCATTGGTATAGCCCTGAAGCCAGCAGGGGTCTTGTCCTGAGGCTCCACTTTGCCTCCAGAGGATTCTAAGCAAGGCCCCCGAGGAGTAGGGATGATGTCAGGAATCCAGCCTGTTGTATTTTCTTCTTGCTCCTGCAGCACAGGGGAGAAAAGGAGTAAATCTAGAAATATCCCTACTTTCTTTTCCTTTAAACCTTATTCAGTCATCCCCGTCCATATAGAGCTGTCTCTGACATCTACAACACAGGGCAGCATTAACCTATCTTTCTGCTTCCTCAGATCTTCCTTCCCCACTCTAGGGTTCCTGGTACTGTCATTAGCATCCACCGTTTGTCTCCTTCCATCAATACCATCCAACACTCCTCCACTTCAACTCTAGAGAGTGGTGTCTTCTAGGACACGTACATCTATGGTCTTGACCATCACCGTCTGCTGGGATTCCCTGCAGGCTTTTTCGGCCTTCTTAATGTTCTCTGGAGTCCACTCAACATTATTAAGGATCATCAGGTTTTCCATGGGATTCCTGTGGATAGCAGGATTAGGGCGGGGCGGCACAAAGTTCCGAGTTGACTCAGATCTTTGACAAAATATATTGAGGGCACCTTTATTTTTATTATCATGAGTCCATGTTGGCATAAACCACGTTGAATGTCTTATCACTAAATGAGCATTCGTAGTCAGTTTGGTAGGAAAAAATATCAGAGAGGAGGTCAAAGGGATCTTATGTGGGTCCTAATTTAGGTACCATGGAGTCCAGGATGATGTCGGGGTACTTCAGAGCACCTGTAATTGTCCTAAACTTGTTTGTGAAATCGTATGTATATGTATATATACTTTTAAAGGACTTTTCCAAGCTCTTAGAGTTTTGTGAAAGTGGGCCCTTACTCAAAAGCCATGCTTGAATTCAAACAGTCTTCAAGTCAAGCAGTATAGCCAAAAAGGCAGGCAGAATTTGTACATAAAGGATCTGACTTGGAAGGACCATTTCTCATCTGTTCCTCTGAATGATCTTATTGGAAAATTTCTTGCAAAGCTGTTGTTTTTAGAGCTCTCTGAACTAGCACAGAAAAGAGCGAGGATAAGGACAGGGGCTGATCCGGCTACCCACTGAGAACCCCTGGACCATGAATGGAGCCTAGGAGGAAATGCCTAGGTTTCCTTTTCCTCCTCCCAAGTCCTTCCAAGATCCCTTCCCAATGACTCACTCTGAGGCTTCCTCCCCCAGCTCATTGGTCACATAGATGATATCTGGGTATCCCAGGCAGCTGGAGATATTAATTCTGGGATAGTAGAAGAAGAAGACGAGGCACATCTCATTAGTGGTGCTGGGGCCTCCCTGAAGAAAGTGAGAGAGGGAGAGACAAAGATACAAAACACATGCAGAGAGGGGACAGGCAGGCAGAAAAGTTTGTCTGTTGTCATTCCTCCAGAGAAATGTTCTTTCTTTTCTCTAATGTAGAGTCCAGCTCACTGCTCCTTACTGTACATGCCTCTTCCTCCATTCTGTTTCCAGCCACTATGCCACATGGTTTTCTCGTCCTCAGCATTTCCAAGCCTACCCTCTGGTTTTGTCAGAGAACCTGCTTTCAATGAGTCACCCATCCATCTTTATGGCAATCTTACCTCATAGAGCTTCCAGATCACTTATTTTTTACTATATCTCTTGTCCTCTCATCTGCCTAGTCAATGCTTTGATAGTCTTTTGATTATAATTCATCATCATTTAGCAAATTCTTTGGTTGCATGTTATGAATTCTTTCATTGACTTGGCAAATGCTTGCAGTTCGGCAGTTAAATCTTGCTGTCTGGCACATGTAGGTGGGACGGCAGCTTCTCTACCAGGACTCCTCCCAGCCTCACCTCTATCCCACTCATTCCATTACTTCAAACATCCTCCCTAAACCTCCAGCTCCTTGTTCCTCATGCAAACTCCATGTGTTGTTTATTGATGACTGTCTCATTCATGTCCTTCTCTAGAGCTTCCCACCTCCAAGTGGGCCTAAAACAGGACCCACTTATTCATATCACATGTCCAGTTTATTGTCTTATGCTTCCCCACCTCCGGAATCTCCCTGAATCTCTATCCCCATTTTTCCATTTTGGTGCTCAACTTTCATTTATATGGCTGCATTTTTCTTCCCTTAAAGTATACAATCACTTTTGAATCCCAGAAGCATTGAACTACTCCCCATACACAAAATTGGTAGGATTCCTTGTGACCACAGTAACAACAGTTAGCTCTGAGTGAGCATCTACTACCAGGGTGTTGATGAGCTAAGTGTTCCATACGTATTAACCAGTTATCATAATAATCTTATGATCTACCTAGTAATATTATTTCTTTATGAAATTAGAACAAACCAAGATGTTGAACAATTTGCCTAAGGGTAGAAAGCTACTAGTTGATTATGCTGGCACTCAAACCCAGGAGGTGAGGACCAAGGGTTTGTTAAAATGCTAGCACCACCTTGGAGAAGGTGGGAGATAGAAATGCTTTATCTTTTCATGGTCTCAGTGGGTTATTGACAGAGAACATAGAGAATCACTGGCATAGATACATGGGGGAATAAGAGGATGCCCAGTCTCATGTAAGTGGCCTGTGTCATTGGAGGAGACAAGGGTGTAAGCTGCAACCATCAAAACTGTTACAGTTGAAACCAGGGTGCAGCTCTCTTCTGGGCCTAAGTTATTATGACTATGGTGAAAAAGAAACTTACAAAAGTCATGAATTCACGATCCAGTGTCTGGTAGTTACATTCTATCAGCAATTCATCTCCCTGTTCACAGTGAAACAAGAAAGCTGAGAGTTAGTCCAAGAGGAAATGGTGCAGTTTTAGGATGTTCCTGGCTGACAGTGATGAAGTGTGGCCATGCTTTCCCCTGGTTCCAGTCCTCATTTCCCCCCAGGCTCCCACCGGCTTGATCTCCACGAGATGAGGCAAATCTCGAGTCTCCTGCAGATTGAAGTCATAGGAAAAATCTTTGCAGATCGTTTGGAGCTGGGTTCCATTTCTAGAGGGAGAGAAGAAGACAGAAAAGGGAAGATGAAGTAGGGAGGGGTTGGCCAATAAAAGATGTAGTTTGTGGACTCATTGGGTGAAAACAAATAGTCCATAAAATTAGACATAAAAGTTCCTTCTTCCGCAGCTGTATCCTACCCATCTCTGTTCTGGCTCCTCATTCTCAACCAGGTATAACCCATGCAGACTATAGAACCATTCCCATACACAGGGAAAGTATCAAGTCAAGCTCTTTTCTTACCTGTATTGCACAGCTTGCAGTGATCGGCCAGCTAAGTGAGTATGGATCAAGTAGCCTGAAACATATATATCAGCTATAGGGGCTCCATTCATCTGTAACAGGGAGGAGGACACCTGATTGGTTAAGAACTCTTATCTCCAGCTTTAATTTTCCTCTCTTGTTACTTGATACCTTCTTCCTCTTGTTATGATTGACAACCACTCTCATTCTTTTTGTTTTTAAGTTTTATTGAGGTTGTTCTATAACAATTTCATACATTATAACATGTATTCTGATTATTACACTGCTTGCCCCTCTAATCTTCCTCCTACCCCTATTTTTAACCCTTCTCCCTACAAGTCCCCTTCCTATATTCATGACTTTGTTGTGGTTGTTTTTTGTTGTTTCTTGGAGGGTGGGGACCCATTGACCTTCTGTGTGGCCATGGGTTTAGAAGTTTCTGTTGGAGCCTGGTGGGAGCCTCAGCAGGTACACACAAATGAAAATAATTATAGCTTCTCCCCCAGCCACCCATCAGTAGCCAACAGTTAAACAGAGAGTGTCAGAGCCCCATAGGCTCATTCCTGATCCATGATTGATTGTTGAGTGATCCAATCTTGTGTAGGCCCATCTTAGCCACGCTGCTATGACCTCGTGACTGCACTGGCATCTCACAGGCCTCTCGCTGTTTTCCAGCTACAACATTCTTTTGGACCTTATCCCTGATGTTCCCTGTCATGCCCCTAATTCCTATTGAGTCCTTCTGCCCTCTTCTTGCTCAATTTGCCTCTCCCCAAAGCCATTATTCCTCTCCTGTCTTGAAAAAAATTTGTGCTTGTCCCTTTCCTGAGCACCAGGCTGCAGTCATTCTCCCAATCTGGGGGTCAGACTTGTAAATTTAGGGATTGGACCAGACTGTGACAAGAGCAAGAAGCCTCAGGGAATGTCTGTCTCCAAGCTTCACCTCTTCAAACTTCTCTGTCTTGCACAGCCCATAGGACATGAAGGACTCAGCACCCGGGGGTATGAAGTGGATGGGGAAAACGGAGATGCCCAGCTCGAGGACCCCCATGTCATATTTGCGCAGGTGTTTGGTGTAGAACAACCGCATCCCTGAAGTGTCATATATACCTAGTGTAGAAAGGAATGTTCTCTTCAGAAGGTGGGAGTGGGTCACAATGTTCAGAAAAACTGGAATGGGCTGTGACCAATAGGATCCAGCATATATCCCAGGTCCTCCTAACATGTCCTCCACACCCAGAGGAATCAACTGACACTACCAGGTACCCTCTGATAAGACCTTGAGTACTCACCAGGAAGGTTGTGAAAATTACTATAGTGAACCTCCAGTCGGACCCACTGAGGGTCCAAAGGGGTTCCAATGGAGATGCCTGCTTCATCTGGAAACTGGTAACTCTGGAGAGAGAGGAATATGTGATAATGATGTAGGAAGGGCTGAAGGCTGGGTACTTGGATCCAGGCTCCTGCCCTAGTTTCCCAACTGTCCCTCCAGAACTTCTCTGCCTCTCACTCCCTAGGTCTTCCATCAGTCCATCATTGCCCAACAACATGCACCCCTTTGTTACAAAATGCTTCCATCACAGGAACTCACAAGGCCCCCGACAGCCCAGCCTGCGATGACATGGGAGCAGAGGGAGAAGGCAGGGTCCGACCCGTAGCATTCATTGATGCCTGTGGGGAGCACACTAGCATTGCCACAGGCATACATGAGGATGTGGTGCACCATCGTCTCATTGTGTTCCACCAACAAGGGCTCGTACTAGATAGAGAAATATGGGAAGAATTTCCATCACATCCTTTTCTCTCCTTTCCAACTTCACAAAGCTCCACCCGACCCCTTTACCCCCATTTCCTTCCCTGTTATTTCCTCCTGGCAACTTCCTGAACCTTCAGAGTCCAGCATGCCCACTGCTTTGCTCTGGTGCTTTCCCCTGCTTGGACAGCTCCCCTCCCCCCAATTTGGTAAACATACCTTGTAGATGTGATGCTTCTGACTGACAATAGGGAGAGGGAGAAAGATGCAGGCATATGTGGTATCATCCTCTGGAATGAGGAACTGGGGAAAAGTGCACAGAAGCCAAATGAATGGACGTGAGGATCCCGAATGAACAGGGGGAAGGACAAGTTAGAGAACTGGGTTTATTTTAGGCCTAGATTGGCACTCTTCACAGGGCCAAGGGGACTCACAGTAACTTCATTCTAAAGAATGTATGGGATATTGGGTGTGAGATGAGGGATCAGGGGTTAGTAGGGAGATGGAAATAGGTCAGGGAGGTTGGTAGGGCATGTTGAAGCCTTACATTACTGATCTCCAAGTCGTAGATGATGGTGTCCTTAGGAACATCGAGATCGTCGTGTTGGACTATTTGCAGCAGGAAGATGGACTTGACAAATGTGCGCTCCCGACTCAGCTTTGGAGTGTCGTCCAGGCCATAGGCAGCCAGGACCCTCATGGTGTCACTCTAGGGGCACAGGAACATTGAGGATCTGTCACCCAAGAGCACCTTGCGTATACCTACATCCAAGACCCTGCATGAGTCACTCATTTACAAAGTGGCACGGAAATAACTTTGGACAGGAAACAAGACTAACTTGGCTTTAGTTCTGTCTCTACAGTTAACTCATTCCTCTTGTTAAGGGAGACTTATACCCTCTTTACTCCCTCTCTATACCCATTTCATACCCACAAAATAGGATAGCAGAACCAAACCAGAAATCCAAACACTAACATTCAACAAAATTGTCAAAGGAGAGGGGAGGGTAGATGGGTCTTAGTCATCGTTGGGATGCTAAGGAAGGGTTAAAAATTTCAAGAGGTGGTACAGTTGGGCGATACCTAGGAAGGCTGAGGGATAGAAGTCCTATGAATTGTGACTGGCTGACTATACCTTCCCAGGAGAAACTGCTTGTGGTTAAATATTTTTTTCTTCCTCATCTTACCGAAATGTCCAGATCATGAGGGTCACAGGAGCGGAAGGGCCTGGAAAATCGCATGGTAGTATAGACAGCATCTTCTGTCAGCCCTAGCAGTTCAGCATCCTGGCTCCCATCCTCTTCTAGGGTATCTTCATCCACAAGGTGCTGATCCTGGGTCCATTGAATGCCAAGAAACAAGAACCAAGGAGCCTAAACAATCATGCTTTGGGGCAGCAGGTGTCTCTTTAGCTCTCTCAAGATACTAAAATAGCAGGATCCAGCTTCTTCCCAGGGTAGAAAATTGTGCCAAGAGGGGAATTTTGTTAGGACAGAGCATGTTCTGATGGAGTTTCACCTCCTGACCTGACTTTACTTCTCTCATTTCACATCTTAGCTCCATAAACCTCAATATTCCTATATCTGAGCCCTTGAATGCTCATTCACTTTTTGAATGATTTGTGCTATTAATCCTTGCTTGTGAGACTCACCTGCATTTTCTTGTATTCTAATGAGCATTTCCCTTTGTAAGTGTAGCTCAGAACAGTGATTTAGGAGCTTAGAATGTGTGAAATTTGGGAGATTGTTGAGCTGCTTCTTGATCTGAAAACTGTGGATAACTGTAATTCATTTTATAGAGATGCTTTGAGGTTTAAAAAGAAAAGAATCTGGAATAATGCTGAGTTAATCAAAAGCACATAACAAATTTTAAGCTATTGATGCTGCTGTTCTTGCTGCCATTTCTCTTATTAGGCAGTTTCGGGTGGACTGCCTGAATGAGCTTAAAGGAAATTGAGGGCAGAGACTGTCTCCAATGGCTTTGATTAAAAGCTTTCTTCAGTGACCTGCATTTACTGTGCTCCTAGCAGGTGAGTAGAGTCAGACTGTCTCATAGTTTAAAAGTTCTTCTCTCTGAAAAGTCTTGCAGACATGGAAAGATATAGATTACAATGTTGATCATTTCTGCAAGGAGAGCTCACTAGTCAGCTGGAGCTTTGGAAGTGTGCTTGGGTATGTTTGGAGAATGCAGATCCTTTCTGGACACAAAGCTCTCCCTGACCCAGGGAAGGAGCTCATCCTTGGTATGAAGGTTTGAAGACTATGGATACTTTCTGAACATGAAGCCACCTTCAGCCCAACCCAAGAGCTTATCCTCAGACGTAAGCCACACCCAGACTTACCGAGAAGTAGACATTACCGCTGGGCAGGACTCCTCCAACCACGAGATCACTTCCCACAAAGGTGTAGCGATCTGTGATGCCCAAGCCAACCCAGCCAGTTGTTCGGATTTGGATCTCAAATGTAATGATTTCAGCAGCATAATCAAAGTCCCAGCGCAGGAAAACAGTATTGGAAGGATCTAGGAATCTGGAATAACGCAGGTGAGATGTGGGGTTCAGGTGCTTGCCTTGGTAAAGAGCTGCCAGTACCAAAAGTAGGAAAAGCCTGAAGAGACAGATACAGGCCATGGCTCCTGGTGCCCGGAGCATCTCTCCTACAGATGGGCGCTCAAGCTTTCTTGACTTATATGTACCTCTGCCAGGCACAGTGCCATGAGGGAGGGGCAGGCTGGGGCTCCTCTGATCTGATTATCCCCTGGGTACAGAGTGGAGCCACTTATGTAACTGGAGTTCTAAGTGTCCAGGGAGGTTACAGAGTGGGATTGTCTAACCTTAAATCAGGGATCTAATACAAAATTATCAGGAGAATCATCTGAACTTTTCAGACCAACTCTATGACAGGGTTCTGTCCAAGGAGAACCTGCAGAGCCAAGGAGGTTCTCAGTTTCCCCTGCCTCTCTGTCCCCCACGTCTATCCTTGCCCCACAATATCCTTAGATGATACTCTTCCTCTGGCATATGCTCTCCCCCATCCCAGTTTCATGGGCTTTTCTCACTTTGTCCATTTGTAGAGTGGATACAGTGAGATAAACCTATCCTTTTGGCTCTTTGGTAGAGTGCAGGGAGGGAGAGGTTGGGGCAAGGCCTGCAGGAACTTAGTTAAAAATCTCAAGAACACCTATAGGTGAAAAACCTCTAGGTACTGAGCCAGGGGCAGCTTTTATTTTAGTAGTTCCTATAGAGGAGCGAGAAGAAGCAAAGGGAAGATGAGGGAAAATGAGGAATAGACTCGAAGTCCCCTGTGAAGTCCTGGTTCCCACACACCCTGCCAGTGGCAGAGCTAATATGAGAGAGTCTGCCTTGTCTTTACTCTTTTCTACAATTTTCTCAGGCCACCAACACTCACAGGCCAGCAACCTCCAAATGCTTTTCCACGATGGTGTGTTCTAGTGGATGGAGTTGGTGTTATTTACTGATTGCTCTTAGGAAAGAACAGAAGTCTTGTTTTAACTTCAGTCTTACCTGCTCCCGGTGACTGAGACAGGTAGCATGGGGAGGTAAATCTTCTCATCTGACCCATTGTCTGACTTGCATATACCCTTAATATGTTGGATCATATACCTACATACAGAAGTCCGGTTCAAGGGGGAGTGAAGGAATGCTGGAGTAAGCTCCTAGAACTGCTCATATCTTTACCACATGCATGCCAGATCTCTGAATTACCTACCAAGTGTAAAAGCTGGTAATGCCTCTGGCTGCTGCTACGAGCACTCGAGTACCAATTAAGACACAGTAGAGGTCCCCTCCTGTGAACATGGAGCTGAGGTCCCCTCCTGTGAACATGGAGCTGAGGTCTCCTCCTGTGAGCCTGAAGCTGAGGTCCTCTCCTGTGAGCCTGGAGCTGAGGTCCCCTCCTGTGAGCCTGAGCTGTGGTCCCCTCCTGTGAACCTGAGCTGTGGTCCCTTCCTGTGAACCTGAGCTGTGGTCCCCTCCTGTGAACCTGAGCTGTGGTCCCCTCCTGTGACCCTGGAGCTGAGGTCCTCTCCTGTGAGCCTGAGCTGTGGTCTCCTCCTGTAAACCTGAGCTGTGGTCCCTTCCTGTGAACCTGAGCTGTGGTCTCTTCACATGAGCCTAAAGCTTTGGATCCCTACTGTGAGCCATGGTCCCACATTCCTCTGGTGGTAGCTTGATGATGGTGCAGCACAGTAGAGCAAGGAGGACTTCCTGATGTTGGGCAATAGTTTCAGTCTTCTCTGACCAAATTCCCCACAGCCCCTCCCCTGAGGTCCCAGATTGTACAAGGCAGAGGCTTTGCCTCTTATGCTGGGACCAGGGGAGGCCTCTGCTATTTGCGGATTCCGGTGTTGGGAGAACTTATTCTCCTGAATGGACCTCCCACATCCCCTGACACTCAGCTGTGGTCCTCAATCCACACATGGTCCTGGGTATCCAGGCCCTGATGTTGGACTTCTCCATTACCAGGCACCAAGGGGTTTCCCATTGTTTCTCTGTTGTTCTTCTATAGCCCCAGTGTGCCACCACCTATGCCCTAAGTGAACTCCTAGAGATGAACCACAGTCGGGGAAGCTAAAAAAGGAAACACAAAGTACTGTGATAGCTAAACTGATAGAATCCTCAAGCTGAAAATTTGTAACTATATCTTAGAATATAAAATTGAAATTCTATATGGCTACCATAATTTTTGAATATTGTTTACTGCCAAAACTGTACTACCGAGATTCAACAACAATAATGTGGAATTTGTCACTGTTCCTATAATGAGCTCACCATTTTCTCCCTTTCCAAATTCTTTGGCCTATACAAAGTCTGTGAATGTAATCAGGTTATTTCTTAAAGAAAACAATGCTAATAAAATATTGTTTAAAAAGTGTGGTAGACTTAGATGTTTGCACACGCATCTTTAATCTCTATATAACTGACTATTACTAGTCACAGTCTGTTACTTTCTGAGATCCTTGGCACCTGAGCATGGATATAGTCATCGGGTAGATGTCAATGGCAATGTTTTTCATATCTTCTGATTAACATGAAGCAAATTTTTATGCTTCCTCAAATATAACTCATTTTTTATTGATTGATTTTTGTGTGTGTGTATTTCATACAGAACATCCCAAATAATCTTATTCATCTTTATACCCGCATCCCAAATGGCACCCTCCCATAGCTTCCGCCTCTCCCCCACTGGCTCAAGCTCATCAAGGAGTCCAGGGGGGAGTCAGTCACCCCTCCCACCCAATCAGTCTACCTTAGCTGCATGTGGGGGAGGAGCTAAGGATGTATAAGCTGAGAATGCCCGGAGGCGCCTCTCTCGTCATTTTCCGTGGCTGCCGGGAAGTCAGTCACAGGATCTATATTTAAGTATGAACTTTCCAATGCAGCTGTAAACGGGGGGCACCCACTCCTCTGTAAATGAACTCCCACCCTATGCTCTACTTAAAAAAAAGAAAATGATAGGTGTTTGGGTAGATAGATGAGAGGGATCTGACTAGACCACAGTGGATGGACTTGCACTGGGGAATGTCTGGGGACACTGACTTGACACATTGGGCCTTAACACCCAGGACAGAGTATATGTGTCCCAGTCGGGAGGGCTATGGGACAGTGCTGGTGGGGATGGGGCTATAAAGACGATTCAGATTGTTTGAGATACTCTGTATGAAATACAACAAAATTTAATAAAAACAATTTTTTTTTTTTAAAGTGCGGTAAAGTAGAAAACAAATGCCACTAGGGGGCAGCAGTAACCTCCAGCACTGGTCCTGGAGAGAAGGTGAGGAACTGGCTAGTGATCTGGAAGCAAGAGGCTTACCATGGCTCAGAACAGGGACTGGGCAAGAGAAGAGGACACAGCAGAACTGCAGGCACTGACCTTGAGAGGCAGGAAGGTCAGCAAGAGTGATAACAGGAGTGTTAGAGACACTCTGATCCCAATCTCATCTGAGGATTAAGCTAAAGAGGGGTCAGTGAGGAGATAGGACAGCCAGGTCTGTAAACTGAGAAGGTCTAGGATCCCTTATCCTTCAATCTACCTGGCTGACCAGGGCATTATCCTTAGGAAAGAAGCAGAACTCTCATGAAAGAGCTGGAACACAAGCCTAGACCTAATGAGTCTTTTCCCTCTGCTCGCATCTTCCTGGATTTTAGGGCTAGTAAAATTAGGGTTTATTTAGATTTTAAGAAAAGATTGATAAACGTTTCAAAGGAAGGACTCACCATTCCAAGTTTTCAAAATAAATGCTATAGGAAAATGAAGATTGAAAGGGGCATCTTTTCCTTTATTCTGGACAAGGAAGAATGAAGGCACCATTTTTAATTTGTATTTCACCTCCAAGAACCACGCGGATAATGGGAGAGGAGTGCCCGATGTGACCCTGAACAGTTTTCACATGTAGCCGAAGCCTGTGGTGACAGATGCCTTTGTTCAATTCTATCGCCATTTCTAGGTTGTATCCAGATGTTTTAGTTCCTTGAAATATCAGAGACTCAGACTCAAACCATTTCCAAGAATATCTGGATCACCACTGAGAATGTTCAGGACCTAGTCACTTCACTAAGGAACTCAGAGAATGTGGGATGTGCGAAGGTGTGAATGGGAGAGCTCAAATGGCAGGAAAGGGTGCACACCTTCAGTTTGAGGTTTATGCTTAGGAGAAAAGAAGAGATAAGATAGTTTCCTGAGGAAACCACGCCCCGTGGAACTTCAGGCCTGGGATTAAGTCTTAGCCTTACTGAATGAGATCTTGTGTCCTGTCTGGCTGGTCCTGCTTGATGCCCTGCGGGAGAGAATCTGAGGGGCCAGGGATGTGGCCATTCTTCATTCTGTGCAGCTGTGTGCTCATGGCTTCTGTGAGTACAGGTCAGATGGTAAGCCCAGGCAGCTACTTAGTGAGCTGAGAGAGGGAAAGAGCAGCCCACTGAAGCATCAGAAGCCAAGAAGCTGTTCTCTGAGCCCCTTGAGACAATCACCCCTGGCATAGCCACTTGTCCAGTTCAAGGCTTCTTCTCATGAGTTTTCCTCTCTGGACTGAGCTCAGTTGGTTACATGTGGGCTTAATGGTCTCTGCCTACTTTCACCTTGACTTTTCTGTGTTTCAGACACCACAGCAACCCTGCTGGAGCAGAGGCCCAGGTGGGCTCTGGTACTCCGTGGGCAATCTAAGACCCTCAGCTGTAGTCTGAGGAATTCCCAGTACCCGTGGATGAGCTGGTACCAACAGGATCTTCAGCAGCAACTACAACTGCTGGCTTCTGTGCGGAGTCCTGGGGACAAAGAGACCATCTCCCTCTCTGGAGCGAATTACCTGGCCACAAGAGTCAGTGAAAATGAGCTGACGCTACAGGTGAACAATGTGACCCAAGGCAGAACCCTGTACTGCACCTGCAGTAAAGACACAGTGGTAAGCTCTGCTGGGGTATTTGAATAAAAACCACACACAGAGACTGCCCTGGTTTCCCATCCCTGCTCCCCTGCGAGCCCTCCCAAGCCTGCTTCCTTTCTACCCAGACGCCTCCCTCCTTGTCCTACCCACAAGTGGGTTCTCCCTGTTGACTTCTCAGTTTTTCTTCAGTCTGAATTGCACAGTGATTTAACCTCAGGTTCTGGAGCACTCAGAGTGCAGACTTCAGCTCTCTCCTTGTGAACTTTGAAGAAGTCTCTTATCCTCCTAAACTTCAGTTTCTGTTTCTGTAAAACGTAGACAGCAGATGCAGCCATCTCTGGAGGCTGCTGCCAAGGACTGAGCAGCTCAGAAATCTTTAGTATGATGCAGAGCGGCACAGAGAACAATCCCTTTCCATTGGCTCTTCTTTATATAATATGTGTGTGGGAAAAGCAGGTCCCATTTAAACTCAGTATCAGTTCCCAAAAGGAGGTTAGTTAAAACCTGGAGAAATTCTGAGAACTCAGATAAATATGGGAATTGTTGAACATCCATTTGTACCCCTGAAATAAACACCCACGTTTCACGATGCCCAAATTCTCTTTCTCACTACTCACATCCACTTCAACTTCTCACGGATCAAATCTTAAGGTAATCTCTTTCTTTGGATGTTCTTTGTATCCCTTTAATACTCAACTTTGTTTTGTATCGATTATATAATTTTTAATAAAACTATCATTTTCAATATGTCATTTGACATAGTAAAGTAAACAAGAAAGAAAACCAAAATCTCCTTCCCACATCAGTGGGAATCTATTAATTACTAATCTACCCAGTGAAAATCTATTAATCCAGATTCATCCTTCTTGTCAATCTCCAGTTTAGCCACGGCAGTTACAGACAGAAATGATGAGGACTGTTGCCCAAAGAAAACATTCAAAGAGCAAAACCCGTTGGGCTGGGAGGGTAGCTCAATTGATAAAGTACATGTCTTGCAAACATGAAAGCATGAGTTCGGTCCCCGGGAGCCACAAAATGGGCACAATGGCACCGAGGAGGAGGCAGAGACAAGTGGATCCCCAGGGCTTGGTGGCCAGCCAGACTCACCTACCTGGTGAGTTCTAGACAGTGCGAGACTCTGTCTCAAAAGAATAAGGTGGATATGTCTGAGGTTGTCCTCTGGCCTCCACATCCACACCCATGTATACATGTACTTGTACATATAAGTGCATCTACACATGCATAAGCATGTGTGCCCACATGCTTAAGTGCGTGCACACACATACACACACACACACACACACACACACACACACACACACAGAGTATTTTTATTATTAACAACCTTAAACCAGAGGTCGATTCACAGGCAAACTAATTCAAACATGTTTTAGGAAAGAAATCCCTCAAAGGAAAATGGGCTCTAGAATTGGCAGTAAAAGGTAAATACTGAAATAAAAAGGTCTGAGTCAGAACTAGGCTTCAACTTGAGTAAGGCCATCCCTAGAGTGAAGAGCAGAACAAGGAGGGGAATTCAACATCCCCTGTAATTAGGGGAGAGAGAGAGAGAGAGAGAGAGAGAGAGAGAGAGAGAGAGAGAGAGAGAGAGAGATTCAGGTCACTGCAGACTTGACTGACACTCAGCCAGTGGAGTCTGAAAATGTGCTTTGCATTCAGACAGAACCTATGCAAACCAGGCTGGCCTTGAGCGCACTATGTAACTGAGGCTGTTCTTGAGCCCCTAATCCTCCTTGATCATTCAACATCCAGTCAAACAGCTAGAAATCAACTGGAAAGTTCAGAATGAGAGAGCAAGTGGGGGGGGGAGTGGAGAGAGTAGAGAGGGGAGGAATAGGAGAGAAAGAAGAAAAGAGAGAAAAAGAGAGAGGGAGAGGGAAAGAGAAACGGAGAGGGAGGAGAGCAAGAGGGAAAGCCAGTGTAAGACCCAGGATCCCGAGCTCCTCAGGTCTGATGTAGGATGTGAGTAACTGGGAAGCAGATGTGAGTGAGGCACTGACAAGATAAATCTAAATGCCTCTTTCTTTAAGAAGCTGGCGTGTGGTTTGCTCAGCCCTGTAGAGACTGAGGGATCATTCCACCAGGGGGCACCATCTGCCCACAAGTCTCCATGATGCTGTGTTTCTGTGGGAGACAGCACACCAGCAGGGCTTCTATGTCTTCTCATCTGTCTCTCCCTGTGTATCCCTCAGACCTCTAGAGATGACGGTCATCAGTCTGTGATATTTACTTGCTTCATCCTGGAGCTGGCCAGGCTTACTTGAGCCCCCACTTTGCTGTCCTTTTTTTTTTTTTTTTTTCCTTCTCTCCTAAAGTTTTCTAAACCGCTGCTGTTTAGAAAGAAAGATGGGCTCCGAGAGTGGTGGTGCATGCCTGTAGTCCCGATACTCCCGGGGCAGAGGCAGGCCGATCTCTGTGAGATCGAGACCAGCCTGGTCTACATAGTGAGTTCCAGGTCAGCTGAGGCTTCAGGGAAATCCTGTCTCAAAAAGGACAAAAAAAAAAAAAAAGAAAGAAAGAAAGAAAGAAAGAAAGAAAGAAAGAAAAAGAAAGATGGCTTTTTAAAAAAGCAGTTTTCAGATATTCTTCATAGAATGGTCTCTGTGCTAAGAGCTGAGATTCTTTCAGCAAAGCTAGATGGACCAAGGCTATAAATGAGAACCAGATACAGGCCTTCACAAAGAGCTGTCCAAGGCATTCTTAAAAAGTACTTATGCTAGATGAGGAACAGCTGAGCTTCCTAAAACAAAGACCTCTAGATAGAGCTGACTAGATTCACCAGATGGACAAATAGTGGGGAATAGCTGGGGATGCCGACAACACAGCAGACAGTAGCAGGGATATCAGAGTATAAAGGCTCTAGTCAGGGTAGGGAGGCTATGGGAGGGTGCTACCTGGGAAGTGGGTGTATAAATAAATTTTAAAAAAGAAAAAGATAATTCTTCAAAGCATAAAAATTTGGTCCTTAATAATTAGTAGATATGAAAAACATTACCATTGAAATCTACCTGATGACTTTATATCCATGCTCAGATGCCAAGGAGCTCAGAAAATAACCGACTGTGACCAGTAATAAATGGATATATAGAGATTAGAAACGCATGTGCATCTTAGTGTCAATTGTATTAAAAATGAATTTATCTGTATGAAACTGTATTTTAATAATGAAATGGAGATCTTTTTTAAAGTTTAAAATCTCATTTAATTTGATGTCTTATAGGGTTTAGACAGAGTACAATATTGTATAACTATTAATTCAGCTATATACTTAAAAATTTACAGCAAATTTTGAAAGAGATGCATCTTAGCTCTGGAAATTGTTACTGAATATGTCAATGCTGTTGTAATGAAATGCTTCTTCTAATTGTATGGTTATTAAATAAATAATTTAATTTAAAAAGTTATTTACCCAAGAAAAATGATGTTGGTTTGCTCCCAACCTCTCCCCTTTCCCTTCTCCTCACACACCCCATACTCACACTTAGCAAACTGAAATCACTACCAAAACTGTGCTGCTTAGTGTTTATGTGGGTTCTCTACCCTACCATGACTTCACATCCACACTCCTCACGCTCTGTGTCAAGAGCAGGAAGAAACTTCAGGGTAGATAGACCAGGAATATGATAAGATCACAATCACAGTTCTGGACAGAGATTTACTTAGCAGGGGATATGCTCAGACAGAAGGAGTAGGTGGTACTTAGGTCTAGGGGTAGATAGGTGAGTGGTAGAAGATGATTCAAAGATGAATCATGGACAGGAACCTTGGAGTAGAGGAGCCTGTAATCTAGGGGTGGGGAGAGGGGGAGAGAGGGGGAAGGAGAGGAAGAGGGGGAGGGGGAGGGGAGGGACCTGGGAGAATAAAAGATTATTTGGTGGTTCAGGTCACTGCAGACCTGACTGACACACAGCCAGTGGAGTCTGAAAAATGTATTTTGCATTTTCATTTCCATTTTTTTCCAACAGGACCTATGTAAACTAGGCTGGCCTTGAACTCACTGTGTAACTGAGGCTGTTCTTGAACTCCTAATCCTCCTGCCTTAGCCTTCCAAGTGATAGAATAACTATGCATAGCAAAAATATTCTTTTTAAATTAATTAATTATGTGTTCCTTTCATTATTCAGATAGGAAAATTTGATCTATGAAATTGGAATCTATCTATAGGACAACACAAAATTATATACACAATTTTATAGCTATACATAATACATAATTACATATGGTATATTTAATTTTATTTTCTCAGTTAATACTTTCAAATGCCCTATAAGAAGACAAGTATTATCTTGTAAGAATATTTCTTAATAAAAACATTACAATTATAAATAATTACAAGGTACCATGTGATGATTCAATGCATATATAGATTTTGTGATGTTTAAAATTTAAACATATCTCCAGCACATTGATCAATTATTATAGTAAAAACAATTAAAGTATTTTCTATTAGGTTTCTGAAATGCACAGTACATACTTGTTGATAGTTACCTTACTGTGTGATAGCAAACCAGAACTTACTTCTATGTAATTATAACTCAGTACCCATTGACGAACCATTTCCCTTCTATCTTCTCCCGATAACCATCATTCCACTCTCCTATGAAGTCAACTTTTTTATATGCTACATATGAGGGAGACCATGCAGCACTTAACTTTCTGTGCCTGAATATTTTTATTTAGCCTAATGATCCCCAGCTTAATCCATCTTGTCCCAAGTGACGGATTTAATATTTTATGGATGAATGGTATTGCACTGTGTATGTGTGCCACATATTTGAATCCATTCATTTTATGGAAGTGCTGTCTTTTTTATTTCTTGTATATTGTAATAATGATGCAATAAGCATGAGGGTTCATATGTCTCTCTGACACATTGATTCCATTTCCTTTTGATCTATGCTCAGAGTGGTATAGCTGCATCATAAGATAGTTCTATTTTTAATTATTGAGAAACTTCCATACTGTTCTCTGTAGTGTCTATATTGGCTTTATAGTCCCGATCCTAGTGTGGGGGGTCCCTTTTTGCCACTATCACACTAGTATTTATCAATTTTTTTTTGACAAGAGTCATTCTTACTGGATTGAAACAATATCTCATCATGGTGTGATTTGGCTTTCCTTCATAATAGTGATGTTGAAGAACTGAACACTTTTTCACATACTTCTTGAACATTTATATGTCCAAAAAGAATTCTGATTCTAATCCAAGGCTATCAGCACCACATTGGATTATCTCTTTGTTGGGGTGTGGGAGGTGGGCAGGAGGATGACCTTGGAAACCTTTTGTCTCCTTTCAGATGCCACCAGGAATGGTAGGCAAAGTTAGGGACCACAGGGTGGTCTGCACTTTGCAGGGCAAGTAGGTTAGGTGAGGGTCCTGCAGGACAAGAGGGAAGAAGAGGCCAACTTCACAAATGCCTGAGTGCACTAAGTGCCTGTTTTCAGTCCATGACATAAAGTAAATATAGCTCTGTATGTGGGAATCAGGGTCAGGACAGATGTTCACTGTCATGATTTCAGGGATATTCCAAAACATTTTTATCTTCATATAGTTCTCCTCTCCTCCTGTCAAAACTTCTAAAATATGATTACTATTCCTTTGGGCTCTATCATTTAATAAGTTCCAAATATTCCTGAAGGAACAATTCTACAATTTCATTGAGAGACTCGTTAATACCTGAGGAAATTCCACCTGTCCTCGCTTAAAGTTAGACACGATCACCCTTGAGAAGATGAAGACGATAGTCCAAGATTTTAGACAGAAATGTGAGGGAGCCTGAGAAATAGACTTTAGACTGAAGTCATTCATTGGCTTATGAGAACCTCAGTAAAGTGTCGTAAGTAGCCATTGGGGACTGGAGACTGTGGAATTGTGGGATATACTTGCATGAAGATGGTAACAGAGGGGATGAATGGTAACTCCAAAGATAAACTTGTCCTACCTTGCTTGGCAGTTTCCTCAGCTGTCCTTTGAAGTTGAAGCAGAAATTCCTCTCTCTATTTTGCATTGAAGACCCCCTCTTCTTACCAGCCTGAGTTAAGCACGTGTAATTTAGCTAGAGCAGGAAGAGCATATGGAGGCAAATTATAGCAGGATATTCTCTGGCTCTCTGATTTTGACAAAAACAGCATAGGTCCTATATTTGAATATTTGTGTCTATGCCAAGATTTACCTTAGTGCTATAGGTGGAGCCGTAAGCAGGTGATTAAGATATGAGGGCTTCACCTTCACGGATAGGAGCAGTGCTTTCCAAGGAATTAACTGGTCCCCCACCTTTTTGCCATTATGCATTCTGCCATTTTAGAGTACAGCAAAAAGACTTTCACCAGACATCAAAGATTTGTGTTTTTATCTATAGTTTGTAAGTTTCCCAGTCTCAGGTATTTTGTTATAGCAGCACAAATTAAGACAATAGATGTAAGGAAGTGGTAACATGGATTCCCGATCATTCCTTGACAGAGACTTGAGAGCCTTCTATGTATTGATACTATGTTAGATGAGTTGCAGAAGCTGTCTTACTCATCTCACAACTGAGAAGAATGTTATTGTCTAATCTTAAATATAAAAACAGAGGACCAGAGGGGTATGGTTTTGATTTATATTTCATTTCCTCTATCATCTCTTTGATCCTGGAATTGCCTTAATGACTTACACAGACCTCCGTCCCTATCAACCAAGGAAGTCACTGCCTAGAGCTCATGGTAAGAGTAACACATGACATCCATGCCTGTGGAATTCAGGGACCTCAACATAGGCTTCACTATCCAGAGTCAGCTACTAGTGCACAGCCTTGGTGTGAATGGTGGAGTTTTCACACCTGCTTAAACTGGGAAGCACATTCAGAAGGTGAGATGTTTTTGAGCTTAACACCACTTGTTTCTCCCATAACTAAAATTTAGTCCCAGCACTCAGGAGACAGAGGCAGGTGGATCCCTGTGAGATCGAGACCAGCCTGGTTTACATAGTGAGTTGCAGGGCAGCTGGAGTTTACAGGGAGACCATTCCAAAAAAGTTATCTAATTATCTATCTATCCATCATCTATCATCTGTCTATCTATCTATCTATCTATCATCTATATATCACCTATCATCTATCTATTATCTATCTCTCATCTATCTGTGGTAAAGCTCCCACAACCACACTTAGTAATTCATATACAAATTTTTGGTTCCAGGCACTCTTAAGTGAGGCTTGGGTTTAGAACCCTTGGGGGGACAAGATTTGTTGCAGGAACTTTCTAGACAGAAAGGCTCCAGTGGCCCACTTATAATGGCTCCAGATTGTCTTTTAACCTTTAGTCAACTGGCCAAAGGAAACTCCCCAGGAAAACCTACCGATTAAAATTCCGGTTGTAACTGAAGCTGCAGAGGTGAGCTGCAAAGAGGAGGAAGAAAAGAAGAAAAGTGCTTGAGTGACAACCAGAAAGAAGGGCAGGTCCTGGGGCAACTAATGTAGTGAATGAATGGAAACAAAACTTAATGACATACACCTATGACGAATGCCTTAATGAACCCCATTACTTATGTGCTAACCTGAAAACGCTAACTATAAGACAGGACAAATACATACCATGAAAATTGGTCCTGGACTCTGTTTTTCTGTGGTCTTAAACATCAGTTAACTTTTGTGTTAATCTTTCATGTTGCAAGTAGACACTGTGATTTCTCCAAAATGAATGATTAGCCTCACCCTGTGCCTAGTGTTAAGACTTGTGTGGGTTTGGAGAGGCAGTGCAGCGCTTCCCACAGTCCCCACCCTTGAACAGTTTCGCCCACAGATTCTTTACTAGCTCACTCCTTGTCAGACTGCTTCCTTCTAATGATGTATTTAACTTGCTGGAAACATGACTAATTCAGTGCTAATACCACACATGATTGTGAGGTGGCTCATTTTCAATAAATCTATTATCATTTGACTTGAACAAGGACCACTTGATAAACTTCAACTGTGGAGTCTCAGGTTTCCTGTTTTCAGTGATCATGAAAGAGAGTTGTGTAAAAGTGACTCTGAAATCACTAGAAGTAAACAGGTATAGTTATCACAGTCCAGTGAGTCCATTTGTTTTTATTCTGGGTCTGGACATGGGCACAAGTTTGGTCACATGGCCCAGAATTCTTGCTGTGGGAGTTCAGTTATTGTTGATGGTCTCTTCAATCCAGGTCATGTAGTGAAAGATGCTAGCATAGATGCCAACATCAGCTCTCAAAACACAGCCATCTGCATAAGACAGGATTCCATAAAGCATCCCATCACAGACTGCAGGAGCAGCTGAGACTTCCTGTCAGGGAAAAATTCAGGTTATCTTTTCTGGCAAAAGACAAGGAATTAAACAGGAAAAGTCAGGCCTTAAGAGTAGGTTACCTTGCAAGGCAGCCTCCTTCCTGGCACAATGCCCACACAGATCATATTTTCTTTGATGTTATAGGCTTTATAGGCATTGTCACAGTCAGTCTTGGAGATTACAGAGATGTTCACAGTTTGCAGTGTGTCGGGGTCCTTTGCTATAAGAAAGAGAGAAATCAAACATCCTTAACATTTCTCTTACATATCAAATCTGTTTTCTTTCCCTCATTTTCAATATTTATCTTTCTATTATTAGAAGGGAAAATAGTTCAAACTCTGAGAAATGAGCACTAGGAAGTCAAGGGAACATGCAGGAGAGTTCTCTGATTAGCAATTGTCATAATGCAAACATTCATCTCTTTATGAGTCATTTGGCATATATAAATATGACAGACCCCTGCAATAAAATGAAACCAATTACTTTAAAATTTCTCTGGAAACTTAAGTATTTAGAGAGTATCCTTTGTTATGGACGTTTTAGAGCTAGAATGAACTTAGAAGCATCTAGTCTAAGTTCTCATTTTTCAAGTGACAAAACAAGCCAAAACAGAGCAATGATCTGGTCAATTAGAGAAAAATCTCCCAAGATATTAGTAATATTAATAATAAAGAACAGTAAGTGGTTAAAGTAGGATTTATTACCAGATGTTCTGATTCCTTGTTCAAATTGTTCCTTTTATAGCAAAGGACCACAAGTACTATTAACTACGTACAACCACAAAGAAGGTTTTCTAATCTGATAAAACGAGAATGGCCAGAATCATATCTATACATGGGAAGGTGCCTTTATTAAGGGTTCTTTGGCCAAAGTACTATATTTTGATATTTTATTTTTCTTAATAAAAATGTGTGTTTACTTTGAAATATTTATTTGAAAATATATGAGTTTTGGAAAAGAAACATTGAGCTACCCTGCTTCACTTTCTAGTGTATCAATAATTTCATAGCTACACATTTCTTTTGAGAGTTATTTCCAAACTAAAAAGTTTACATTACTTTATTTCATGATCCAGATAAAAATAGGACCCATATTTTTCTGAGGTAGTGACATTATTTTTATATTCAAGGAGTGTAACCCCTCACCAGAGGGACATATCTATTGCTAAAAATCAAATTGATCTCAAAGGACGACTAATTTATAATTGATTTTTATTGATGTATAATAATTGTGCATCTTTATGGGCTGCAATCACCTTAAGCATCATTTGTTGGGTGTAGTAAGAAAATTTAAAATTCCCTTTTCTATGAATTTTTGTTTTGAAATATACAATATATTTTTATTATAACTGGTCTACTGTGTATCAGAACACCGGAATATGCTCTGTCCACCACCATGCCAGCTGTTCAACCTCTTCCCATTCCCCTTTCCCCTACTCTTCAGTTATCACTTACAACCTTGCATAAGAACATTATGTTTAATTCACCATGATATCATGTGTTTGCTGTCTTAATATTTATTTAATATTTCAAGGCTTTAAGCTGATTCATTTCCTGAAATTGTTTTGTGCTTCATTTTAATGTTGTAGAAATTGAAACTCTAAGCTAAAATAAAATCTTGTCACATGGGCAAATTAGGTCTAGATGTATTTTATCTTCTCATCTAAATCACTTCTTTTATCTTTGTGCAAAGAAGACTGACAGATTCTGAAGAGGAAGGCTTGAAAGTCTCCTTGTGTGAGTTGAAAGGAACAGGAGAAGAGATTTCAAGGACGAATGCAGAAACTTGAAGAAAACCCTCTTAAGGCAGAATTGCAAAAGTTTACAGGAGAGTCTAATCCTGAGGGAATGTTGTCAAAGTCAGTAGACATCATGTATGGCTTGAACTTACTGAGGTCACATAGGTTGTAGGCCCACGTGGAGACAGTACACATGGTATTTTTAGGGATGATGTATTGGGGCAGTTCGGCCATTTCCACATATTTACTTGGTCTGATCACTCTTTTCAATTTGATTAACATGAGGTCATATTCAATAGAAGAGACTGAGTAGTATGGATGATGGATCATCTTCTCGTGTCCGATGATTTCTACATTGCGTTCTTTGGGGTCTGATGGGTTTGTGACCCCTAGTACCACCTGGAGTTTCCTGGAATGAGAGGGATGTCCGTAAACCTATTTTATCATAGATGATCTCTCCAACCATATGCACCTTAACTAGCCTTCCCCATAGGAGGGTCCCTGTATCTATGTATCTAACCAGAGAACTCTAAGAGCAGAGTGATCCAGGGGTCTTATCACTCACGGTAAATTGCAATGTGCAGCTGTGATCACCCACAGAGGATGAATCAGGACTCCAGTGCAGGGCAAGTAATCAGATTTCAAGTAGACCAAGTATGGGGGAGTCTTGCCACCTATATGGTCTGGATTAAAGGCACAAGCCCCTGGAAGAAGAGGTATGAGATTTTTCAGGAGTCACTAGAAAAACCAAGGGATATTCATTTAATCGGCACTTTTAACTGTGAACTAAATTGGTAAAATGAGGTAATTTGCACTAAAAAAACTGAAGGAAGTGGTAAATGATAGAAATATCTATTTCAAAAAGGGAAAGGTATAAAAACATTTTAGCTGTAAAAACATTATTCAAGTTGAAACAAGCTTTCTTGGATCTGAGAGAAATCTCCCTGTGTAAAGTGCTTGCTGCACAAACCCGATGGCCTGAGTTTGATCCCCAGAACCCATGGTAAGTGGAGGGAGCAGAAGTAACTCCACCAAGTTGTCCACTGACCTTCACACATGCACCACCGCACACCCACCCATATGCACATGCACCCTCATAATAATACATTAAGAAAAGAAATGCAAGTTTTCCTAAATACTTTATACAATTCAGGGAAAAGTATTTTAAATCAGCTAAATATTAAACCGCTTTTTGCCAATTTTAGAGTGCTAAGGTTTGGATGTAAAATGTGCTTCACACGCTCATAGGCTTGAACACTTGGACCCCAGCTGGTGGTGCTGTTGGAACCTTTGGGGTATAGAATGAAGCTTCAGGAAGTTCATCTCTAGGGATCTAGCCCTGAGGTCATATTATAGCCCATCTCATTTCCCGCCCACATATGAGCAAGCAGCCTCAGGCTTCTGCCCTCACATTCACAAGCAACTCCTGCTGACATGTCTTCCCTACCATAAAAGACCATACCCTCAAAGTCAAAATGAATGCTTTCTTTCTGAAGTTGCTTTGCATCAGCTCTTTGGTCGTTGTCAGGATCTGTGTTAGGAGCTTGAGCTATCCAGTGAGTAAAACAGATCTCCCGCTGTCAGACATTTGAACTTATAAAACAATAGATACAGTACATATGAAAATGGCATGCTAGGTGCTGACAAGAGCTACAGGGATAAAAGTAGGACAGGGAAAGAAGGAGAAGCAGCACCAGTGGTGTGGGTAGTGTCAGCCTGGGGAGTGGAGTATCACGCAGCAGGACAGTGATCAGCTGACCTCAACATGAACAGTGAAATGGAGACAGGGGAGTAGGATTTTCAGATATGTGGGCTGGATAATCCAGGAAAAGGCAACAGCTAGAGCAAATTATGTTTAAGGAACGTGGTAGGGGCCAGTGTGGTGGATATGGTATGAGTGACGAGAAGACGGTGGAAAGTGACCAGAGAAGATACAGCAGGTTCTCTGGGACATTGGAAGTACATGGACTTGTCTTCTGAGTAAATGCAGGACCACTTCAAGGTTTACAGAAAGTAATGATGACAATATTCTATCTTTCAAGTATAGCATGTAGAAACAGAAGGTCCTACTAAGGGAATAATTTGATAGATCAGTTGACATGTTGACTTCGACCATCATGGGCAGTGGAAGTGACTGACTTAGGATATGTTTAGAAGGTGGAGCAAATAACATTTTCTTAACATATTGAATGTAGGGTGTGAAGATGAACCATGCCAGATGTCCAGTTTTAAGTCTGCTGCTCTTTTCCTTAGATTCCTCCTTCTAATCACTGCCCCCACTGCCTATTCTTGTACCACAATATCAATCACGTTCCAGACAGGCTCAGAGTCAGTTCTTCCTTAAGACTGGATCTGATATAAACATGTCAATATCCATCTGTCCTCCAAAGTAGACAAGCAATCAACCTGAGGTGGGACAGACAGGAACTCACCCAGGGAGAAACTGGTATGGACAGTGACAGTGGTTGAAAGAGAAAAAGTACTATACTTTAAGCCTGGAGTGATGCCCCCTGTCTTGATCTGCATCGCATGCCTTCCCCAGGACTTCTCTTTGGCAAACAGAGGCAGATGTACAGATACTCACCAAGGAGGTTTATAAGAGCCCAGAGGAAGACAAACTTCATGATGATGTTGAAATTCTTTTCATGAAATGAAGTTTACCTAAGAGTTTCTGAAAAGCACAGGGAAGAGAGAAGTTAAAAGAATAAATCTGATAAAGTAAGAGACCTCTACGTTGGAAAAAAGTGTCATCTAAGTATTTCAGTGGTCAAGAGTTCAGTTCATGAAATGGTGTCCTTCCGTCAGTGTACAGGGTGGTGTCTGAAGGAAGGAACTGCAGTCAAGAATTTGATCTCTGACATGGTTCTAGAACTCAGGGTTTTACCCTCTATTTCAAGGAAGAAGATACCTCACCTGGGAGATGTTCACAAAGTTTCATCAGCCTCCTGCTCTCTGATCTGTGTGGGCAGGCCGCTCTCTAGGTTGCAGGCATGATTCTGACCCCTCCTGTGTCTATGATGTTATCCTATTTGTATGACTCTGCTTGTGCTTCATCTGTGCTCTCACACTGCTGTTGATCCATCTGCTGGACACGGAATGCCTCTTTGAAATCCTTCAGTCCTTTTCTGAATGTCGCTCTTTTTTTCATGTATCAGTTAAAACAACAGCCATCAATTTAAATTATATGCATCTCACCTGTGCTAGCATATTATCTGCTAAGGATGCCTAAATTTAAAGTCTCCACGACCAACTTCAAAAAGCTTACAAGGTAGTGGGGATGTTAGGTGGCTGAGCAGATAGATTCCACCAAAAAGTACTCAGAGCTAAAAAGAACTGACACGTGATATAGGCGAGGTGAAAATGAACACACATCTGCTCAAAGATTTGTATCCAAAGCGTATAAGGAAGTATTACAACTCACCAATGAGAAGGCAGGCAACCTGATTTAAAAGCGGGTCTAAGATCTGAGCAGACGATTACCTTGCTGATAATTTTATTCTTGACGGAGGGCTAAAGCAATAATCATTTGCTATCTTACAGATCTGTTGTGGGAAGTCAGTTATTCAGTAACTGTGAAATTTGGAGTTACGGTTTCCCTTCTAGTTGAGTGATGAGCACCTTTATTTGACCTTTCCTCTATCTATGTCCACGTGTTCAACAAAGGAAAGAAAATGCTCAGTGGTCAAGAGCACATACTGTTCTTGCAAAGGATCAGAGTTCAGTTCCCAGCACTCACATCACATGGCTCCCAATTGCCTGTAACTGCAGCTCTAGGGGATCCAGTGCTTTCTTCCCACTACTGTGGAAACCTGCACATACCCACACAGAGACAAACATGCATACACATAATTAAAAATCAAAATGAATCTTTAAAAATGAGAAGCTTCCTTTTGCAACAGATGGAAACTATTACAGAATTATACAACTGGCCACAAACAGATAATAGGTATCTGTGAGATGCCCAGCGCTATAAGTGACATGTTTATAATAGAACCTCTGCACTTAAGGCTCATAGAACATAGTGAAACAGGGGTGAGAGTAGAGAGAGTACTAACACATCTCTCAACTCTCACCAGAGAAGCTTCTTCACGCATCAGAGGGCCATGAACATGGAAGGCCACAACCGGCCAAAGTGTAGAGAAGATGGGACTGCAAAGTACATGTCCCTGGATAAGACTCATTAAACCTCAACCACCCCAGGGCTCAGGGACCATTGTGGAAGAGGGGGCTGAAAGATTGTAAGAGCCAAGGGTGGTGCATGACCACAAGGAAATAGTCTCCCAGGCTTCTGGGAACTTGCTAATATGAAATTAGAGCAATTGAGACAGCATGCACAAGACTCATGCAAACTCAATCAGACAAAAATCATCGTAGAACTGAGAAATAGACAGCCTTAGCAGAGGAACTATTGGCAGCTGATCACTTCTTGACGAGGGATAGCTGGTATTCTTTAAGGGAGTGATGTTAGACAGGCTGAACCGGCTTCCATGGATAAACTTTCATTGAAAGACATCTGGGTGCACAAATTTGACATGATAGGCCTTAATATATATGACAGAATGCATGAAATCCAGTAGAGGGGGCTATGGAGAGTGCAGATAGGGGAGGGGATCTAAATATGATTAAGATGTATTGTATAGAATGCGCAAAAATTGATAAAAATTGTACTAAAATTGGCTATGAAACTATGAAAAGTTCTGAAAGCTATTTAGTGTATATTATTACTATGTCTTACAATAAATTTAAAAATAGTGTGACATTATTTCTGGTTTACAGAGGAGGAAGCTAAGCCTGTGGGAGATGGAGCAGCCCATGTCCAGGTAGCTAAATAACACAGATATAGCAGAATGCTGGTATGCAAGTTAATAACGGAAGTGTGGCACCCTGTCACTAGGATAGAAAACTGCGAGGAATGTAGGAATTTATCCAATCAAATACCAATACAAGGATTGAAATGAGATAAACCATGAGATGTTACAGAATTAAGATTAAATGAAAATCATAGCCAAAAGTTGGAGATGTTAAGAACATGTAAAAAAAATCCCTGTGGGAATAGAGTAGGTAAGGATGAATTTAGTGAGGACATGGTCTAAATATAATTAACATGTATTGTATGAAATGTACAGTAATTCCAAAACTGGGAGAAATGCTCACAGGACTGAAAACAAATACTAGTTCTCTCATGCCATTCTCCTTCCCTGTAATCTCTTTTAACCCTGGTTACTTAAAGGCAACCTTTCTCAAAATATGAAGACATTAGAGTTAGGGATTCAATATATGAATTTCAGTGGTAATAGAGTAGAGTTCCATCTCGAACATAGGAGAAGGCACGTAGACGAAAAACAGCACATGAAAACATTTTGAACATAATAAGTTATTAGGAAAATCTAAACTGAAGTAATATGGATCTAGGACAACACATATGTAGAATGATTAAAAGTCAAACACTGAAGATAAACGTTGGCAAAGGCAAAATAAAATGGAAGGAGTCAATGCTGGTGGAATTTATAGCTGACAGGGTTATAAAGTAGTACAGTCACTTTAGAAAACAGTTTCGAAGTTTCCTAAACAGCTAGATATCACCCTACCCTATGACCCACCAATCGCACCTTGGTTTTTATCCAAAATGAACTGAAAACTTATGTCCACAGAGAAACTTTCAAGTGAATGTTCACAGAAACATACTTCATAATTGCCAGACCTTGGAAACAACGAAGATGTCCTTCAACAGGTAAAGTATAAACAAAGTGTGGTACATCTGAAGGAGGAAATATTATGCATTGGTTTTAGAAACTGAGCTAGCAAGACACAAATGTGTAACTCTAAGCAACAGAAGTGGTTCTGAAAAGATTATATTCTGTATGATCGCAGTTATATGACATTGTGGAAATGGTTTGGAAAGAGAGGGGTGGGGATAAGTACCGTACAGGGACTTTTTGGGGTAGTGAATTTCCTTTGTAGGGTACTTGTCAGATCCCAGACTTGTCAGATCTCACAGATCTGTGCAGTGTAAATAACTGTAATATAAAGCGAAAACTTCATGTCAGGTCTAGCTGGAGTATACCCAATGTCCTCCTCTGGCCTCCACATGCATGCATGTAAGTGCATTACACCTTCACACTCACTTGATGTACCAAACACGAGTTCACCGCGTACAGGTACCCCCGTTCACCGCGATGAGTCCCTGAAACAATATGACATGTTTGTGAAACTATACTACAGTATTAGAAGGGGAAAGTTTAGGGTTAGCCAATCAAATAGGAATCAAGTGAAAGCTTTCTTATATAAGCCTTGCATAGATAACGACTTGCATAAGAATTTATCATGTAGGAGATAGGGAGCCAAGAAATTTCATTACTTCCCTGTGTAGTCTTCTTCCTCTGAATGTGAGCAGTATTTGTAACTGGCTTCTAATAGAATTCCTCAGAAGTAATGGGATGTGCCCATAGGATGATGTTAATGCATAATGACAGATTATATATTTTATAAGCTTTCTAACAGCCACAGGAGAGATTTCATGCTGGTTCTATGAAGTCACAGCCATGTTGTGGAAGCCCATAGGCAAAGAAGCCCAGATATTTTCAATCTCTCAAAACAATACCATCCCCAAACTTGTGCTGGCATTTAGCTAAAAGCCAGCAGAAAACCAGGATTCTGTGTGGTATAACATAGAAGATGAGTTCTCCTGGCATCTTGAGTAATTCTAGAAGCAAAATCTTCCTTTGTAGCCTTCCCAGACCCTGAGGAGATGACTCAGCTAAGTTGTACCTGAACTCTAACCCATGGAAATTGTGAGGTCATAAAAATGTGCTATTTTAATCCCCTCATTTGTAGTAAAGGTTTTTATACAGCAATGGAAAACTAAGTATGAATTGTGTGTTGTCCTTTGTTAGATATTATTTAATAGCAAGAGGGAAAGCTTGAGCTCTCATGCCGGTGGAGGAGATAAATGTCCTAACAATTACCACCATGGATGTCACAATGTGGGAGGTAAAATGAGGCAGACAACCACACAGCACAGTCCACAGGGAACAGCTTGTGTTTAAAAGGATTCACAGCATAAGACAAATGAAAATAGTGGGGGAGAAGAGCAAAATTATGAGGAGAAAGAGAAGGACTAGTAGAAAAAAGGCAATTCATAAATTCTGTAACAAGAAAGTAAGTTGGGGAGACATGCACCTGGTTTCCATATTTTAGATGAGTGAGGCTTGATCTTTCTTAAGAGAAGGCAGTAAACATCAGTGGACATGGGAGGTTAGACTATAGCTATCAATATGAAATCACATAGGATATACGAAGTCCTGTGTGCTGTATCACTGTGGAAGGAACTATAAGCCACAAAATTTGCAATATAGTAAAATATAACTAAAGGAGTCCAAAATTTCCTAACACATAGAAATCAGAGTGTTTGAAGAGGCAGAAATGCTAATTGCCCTGATTTAATAATTATTCGTTGCTTACAAATATTAATTTATAATACTCTCCTCTGCAAACATATACAAATATTATGTCTCAGTAAAAACATGTCACGCATATGTAAATAAATTCAAGCCAACAGAGAAGATGCAGAACAGTAAACAAAGTGCACGAAGATGTCAGGAGAAGATCCACATCATAGGTAGAGACACAATCTGTAGATAACAGAACGCTTCTTCCACTCAGGATGGAGGAAAAAAGGGTAAAATAATGTAGGAATGTTTTCAAGTTTGGTGGTGTCAGTCTGTACCAAAAGATACTGCTCCCTACTAGCAAATCGGAGGTCATTTGCTGAAGAAAGTGAACATACACTATAGCTTTTGGGGGGTCTTTTTTGAGATAGGGTCTCCATGTAGCCCCAGCTGGCCTGGAACTCACTATGTTGACCAAGCTAGTCTCCATCTTGCAGTGTCCACCTGCCTTTGCTTCCTGAGTTCTGGGATTAAAGGCGTGCACCACTACACTCAGCTATGACAGCACTTTTGAAAAAAATTAAACATTTTTTCTGTGACAGTTTTGTACATCTTTATAATGAATTTTGTTCATTGTCATCTCCAATTACCCTCTCATTCTTTTTTAATAATATCTTTATTTAGTCTCTGAAAAGTTCTCATATGTGTACAATGCATCATCACCATATCTGCCCCTATTTCCCCTTCCAACTTCCTCAGTCCCCCAACAAATCTTACTCCCAATCTCCTGTTCCATGTCTTCTTTTTAATTTCATCTAATTAATGTGTCCATACACACACAGATGTAGGGGGCCATCCACCGGGGCAAGGAAACCATACCAGTGGCCATGCTGGAGATGGCTGCAGTACCTATCTACAGCCAACAGCTCCTCAGCCAGGAGCGGGGTCTCAGGAACCCTTCTTGAGCTCATGCTGGAAGAGTTTTCTTCGTTCATTATTATACCACAAATTCCTTCCTGCAATTAAAATCATATAACTTTCTTTTCTTTTTATAAGCTAGTATACAAAGTAATAGACTTCAATATAGTATTTTAATATATTTTATTCCTTTTTAAATTTTTAAAATAATTTCATGCATGAATACTATATTATTTCTATCATTTATATCCCTTGTCTCCTTCTCCAGGTCCTCCCATGCCCTCCTCCCCCAGGTCCCCTCAAACTGATTTATAATCTCTTTTATTATCATTTGGTTACATATATGTATATATAAAATCTACCGGTTCCTTTTGGTGTTGATGATATGTACATGTGTTTAGGGCTGACTACTTGGGATTGGATTGCCTTTTCTCCAGGGGGCTTCATCCGTGGAGAAAACTGATCCTCCCTCTCTCAGCAGCCATTGATTGCCTGTAGTTCTTCATCTGGGGTATGCAGGGTTACAAAATAACCTCCATCTCCATTGGCATGCAAGCAGTGTTGTGATTATTCGGTCTTGTTTAGAAACTTTGTTGTTGAGAGTTCATGCCTGTAGCTTCCCTTTAATATCTGGAAGACACCCTCTAGCAGCAGGTGTCCTGGTCCTCTGGGTCTGATAATCTGCCTCTTCTTCCATGATGTTCCCTGAGCCTCAGGTATAAGGATTGCACTATAGATATACCAACTGGGGCTGAGTACCCCGTGGTCACTTATTCTTTGCATGTTGACCAGTTGTGGATCTCTTTAGTAGCCTCCATCAGTTGCAAAAGGAAATTTCTTTGATGAGAGGTGACAGCTCCATTTATATGTGGGTATAATGATAAGTATTTAGAACACAGAAAATGGCAGAAGTAGGTGCTGCTTTAGGATCTATGACTTCTCAAGTCACAGATTATTGGCTAGTTTTACAGTATCGGTCATGAATTTCCTTCTATTGAGTGGACCTTAAGTTCATTGAACTGGGATTATCCCTAGGATACAAGTGCCACAATTGGACCATTAGGGATATTTTGCTAAGCCAGTCATTGTCATGGTTTGCAGGCCTCATATCTGGATAGGACTATTGATTGCTTTTCTCCTTTAGCAGGTTACACAGCACCTTCTGACATTATGAGCTGGTTCTCAAGGAGGAGGCTTCCAAGTAAGTTCCATATCAATTCTTCCAAGTCCTGTGTCCAAAACGTAAGGTGTCTTCAGCAACACTGACTTACCTTCAAGTTCTGGAAAGCCATCAAGAAAGTCAATAGCAATAGCTTTTATTATTTGGGGAGTCTCTTGGACCCCATGAACAACTCCTCAAAGGGAGGTTTCCCTTGCATGATGATATAGCACCGGGTTAGACCACTGATGTCTTTTCTTCCCGAGCAGCTTGCATAGCACCTTTTAGCCATACAAAAGCTTGATTAGTTAGAAGACGAGAGTGCCCTTGTCAGTTCCAAATTGATTTCTGTATGGCCTACAAACAAAGTATGTAGTGTATTCAGCAACTGAGTCTTAACATCTAGCTCTGGTGGGCAACCAAGAGCAATAGCAAGGGCCTGCGTTGTTTCTGGGGCCTCCCTTGTAGGGAGGAAACCCTTGCCTCCCTTCTTGCCAACAAGTTCCCCTTCTCCATTCACATATGTTTTGTATGTGGTCCATTGAGCTTATTTGGGTTGCTTGCATGAGTTATGTGTGCGTGTTGGTGGGGGGTTATTGACAGGAATATGGGAAACTCATTAGTGACTAGTTCACTGAAGAAAGTTTGAGGAGAGAGAAGCTTTGAAATAAATAGTTGCTGTGGAGAATGATAGTTAACATGGAAAATGTATTATGATCATTAAATGCTCACTACAAAATTTATGAAAAGTTCTGGTAGAAATATAGCTATGATTCACTAAGGTAACAGAGAGAGCTAAGCAGGAAATCAGATTTGGAGGAAAAGGGAGGGAGACTGTAAGTGAGGATAGGCAAAGAGAGGTTTGCAATTTGGACGGGGACAGCAGCTGTAGCACACAGAAATCATCTTTTATCACATTCTTTCTTCTTCCTTACAACCTGTTTTCTTCCTTCAAGTGTTACTTATGTGCATATGTTTTTTTAAGAGCATGTCATTCTTACATGTTTTCCTGGCTTTTTGTCAGGTATGTTCTTAGTTTTATGATTGGTATCCTCCCCTAGTTTGTGTGTGTCCTTGATGTCCCTCCACCATCTAGAATACTCAAATTTATGCTCTCCTTGAAAAGATCACTCATCTATATTAAATCATTACAAGATTGGCTAAATGATGGACATTTCATAGTCACACATGAATTCCTTAGCAAATGCAGTCTGTGAAGTAGCTGATCATCAGTCATTTTTGTATGAACAAACAGTTCATTTCTAAATTTCTCATTATTCTCAATGTTTACACTATGGCAAAAGTAAGAGTGGTCTGTTTCTGGTGTCTTTTTATTGGATGTTTTCTCTTAGATTTTCTTTTCAATAAGAGGCGAGTTGTTGATCCATGTAGAAATCTTCATGATACATTGAGTGGTGGAACTTCTCAGTGAGACTGCATGGTATCCATGATCCATTTTGCATAGGGATGAATTTCCGTGAAGAATGCTTCACTTCCAAGAGTGATACCTGCTTTCGCCCAGGACAGTATTCCATACAACCTCCCACTGCAGATGGCTGGAGCAGCTGAGACTTCCTGCCAGAGAGAGGGAAAAAGGCTTTGTGGCTTTGATGTCATTGAACAAGAGCAAATCCCAAAACAAGGCATGTAGCAGTAGCAAAATCATCTGAAGGGATGAACTCATTTTGCTAGAGAGGTGACAGCCTTTGTCTCATGTTCTTTGTTCTCTCCCTTTGCAACTCAAATTTCAACCTAACCTGAACGTAAGCAGGAGAAAGTACATATGGTCTACTCTAGATCTCTCCCACTCTAAGAAGTGGAAGGGGAATGAAATCCATCATAGACTGAGGGACAGAGGTGAAGGGACCTCAGCTTTCTGCCCCTTACACTGTAGGGGGCCTTTTGATAAGTGATGCTTGACTTCCCATCCTTACTCCTCTACTCTAATGGACTCTGTACTCTCTTCCTGTATGGAGGAAGGAAAGATACCTTAATTGAAGATATGACTTCAAGTGGCTGTCCTATACACATGATGTTCATTCCTTTTTCTTGTTGTTGCTCTTGGAGCATGTTCCAGCAGTCAGTTTGGGGAAGAGAATGCTGATTCGTCCATGTCAGGAGGTCAGGATCACTGACTGTGGGAAAGAAAAGACAGATGAATTCCAGGGCTGCTCTACTTATAAAATATTGTGTATCAGCCCCCACTGGCCACATGTTCATCCCCTTCATATAAATTATATTACACTGTAAATTTCAGGATGCAGGGACTCTAACCAAGGTATTAAACATTTTAATCTCTAGCAGAGAACAGTAATGAGGAAAGAAAAGATCACTCAAAATTTATCAAGCTAAGACTTGTGGAACTTAAGGAACAGAATTTTTCTGATAGCATATATAATAAGATGCTGTCAGTAGATTAGATTAAACCATGTCAAGTCAGAAAAGAAAGATAGAAGAATTATGTTCTGTTTGATGATTTTAAAATCCACTAAACAAGCTAGATGAAAATAAATAGCTTGAAATAAAGATTTTCTAATAAATATTTCCTATTTTTATTTCTTAATAAACATATCCTGCATGAGACCTCACTGTGATTTTGATGTGTGGAGGTGACGTGATAAAAACCTCCCTTTAGTGTATTTTATTTTCAAATTGCATATAATAAATTAATTTTATAAAGTGTGTGATATAATGACTTCAAGTAAAGCTTAAAATGTCAAAGAAAAAAGTGGCATGTACTGAAAGTTTTTTTTTCTGGAAAAATACATTCACTTAGATCATCAGGAACTTTGCTTCTAAACTAAAATATGAAGTTGAAAAATACTGAGAAAATCAAAGTTTTATTGTTTTCCTTTGTACAAAACATAGTGATTTGTAAAGTTCTCATTTTATTTTTATTCTTTAACCAGGAGCTGGGTTTAAATCCAATTAAACAACTAACTTTTGACGATATCTAAAACAAGTATAATTTATAAGCAGCTACATGAAGTAACAGCCAAAAAATACATTAGAAAAAACACCTTGGAAGAAAGGCTCTTGAAGGCATCAGTACACTCTACTTTCCCAAATTTGGGGCCATAAAGGAAAGGGGTATGTGCCTACATGGCCTGTGATTATTTCCTACTGAGTGTGTCAGGCTAGAGACATACCTACAGCGTGTTACAATAATCAGCTTGTGTATGTACCACACAAGTCTACAAGTACATTTGAGGAACTTTCAGTATTAGGGCAAGGCATGAAAAAAGTATCCAGTGATAAGGCAGCTACTCCTTCAACCACTCCCTTGTCTCCCAGGGTCCAGCGAGGTGAGAAGAATGGATCATTGTGTCCCTGAACACAGCCTTGGATCTCTGTGGTAGACAGCAGGAAACATCCTTTGTTGCCCCACTTATCACATAAGTTTGCTTTTTTCCCATGTCTCTTCTAAAAAGTGGAGTGAGCTTTAAGCAAATCCCACTGAGAAGCCCACTCTCCTCTCCTCCATCAGTACTATATTTATGAATGAGGACTGCTAGTTATATCCTCCTTCAATACTATGTTTATGAATGAGAATTCCTAGTGCTCTCCTCCATCAAAACTGCTAATGAATGCGGACTTCAAGTCCTAGTGCTCTCCTCCATCAATACTGTTTATGAATGAGAACTTCTTGTGCTCTCTTCCATCAATGCTGTTAATGAATGAAGGTTCTTAGTTCTCTCCTCCATCAATACTATTTATGAATGAAGACTCCTAGTTCTCACATAGTTATTTCAATTCAGCTCCCTGGTTCCAGGTTTCGAATGTTTTAGTGAACAGCTACTGCCTGCACCATTTGTTGTAGTCAGAGTAGCTGCTCTGCATCAGTCTCATGACTTTTCTCTTTGACCTCTAATCCTGAGGGTGTGGGGTTTTAATAGAGATCACTGAAGGATCAGGAACATTTCTTCACATCACCTCTTTCCATCAAGTATGTTCAACTACATCCTTTCTCAGTCCCAAGCTCCCCAGGATGGAGGACACAGGGCCAAACACTCACAGTTTTTATATTCATTCCAGGTCCAGGTTGGAATAAAGCATGAGTCATTATATGGCATGGGTTCCATAGCTATGGCTATCGTTCCCACACGTGTGTTTATCACAGCAGGCTTGGAGAGTTTTACCAACATCAGGTCGCTTTTCATGGTTCGTGCATCAAATTCAGGGTGGGTCACAGTCAATTCATAATTATGTATCTGCTCTTCCTTATGTTTCACACTGGGATGATAAACTCCCAGTCGGATCTTAGCACTGTGGAAGAAACAAAAAGGCAGAGAGCTTGGAAAGGACAGAGTCACAGAATGTCAGAAGCAACTCATCCAAACATCTTAATTTTATTTCTTAGCCTTTATAAATGAAATGAATTAACCAAAATAATAGTAGTTTATTGGATTATTGCATTATTAGCATACATATGTAAAACTCAACAAGGTGTTTGATACCTGTAATACACTCAATAGAGCCTATTCTAATGACTATTTAGATAACTGAACTAGCAGGAGGTAGAGAAGTTGTGATTCCACACTAGCTCAGGCAGCTTTGAATGAGTACCTAATGTTTCTAATCCTCTTAGGTCTTTAGTGCTCCTCTCAGGGCTATCTCATTACTTTTGCCATGCATTGTGTATGGTGATCATGGCTTCATAAGACTGTTAGAAGTCTTGTCTACATTCCAAATCATCATTTTACTTATATTCTCTAGGCAAATTCAGAGTCAGCTACTCTATCACAAGGAAGCTAGTCATTCAACATTCTAAAGAGGTATTCCCATTAAAAGCAGTTTATATTAGATATAAGTGATAGGAAGATGTCCCAACTCCAGCATAATGTGAGCTGCCTTTGTTGCCTACATATCCTTGATATCCTTGATGCAGACAGCAAGCCTCCAATCTTTGCTGAACTGCCTTTTCTTGAACCTCCAGGCAGATAGGAGCTGTAAGTTTGAAATGGGCCTGAAGCTCTGAGGACTCCCTCATGCAATGCATTCTTGATACCCAATAAAATCAATGAGGTTTCAAGGAGTTTGTAATTTGCACTGAGCTTCCTTGCCTTCTCCCATTTACCTGCATGTGCTCTCTTCCTAACTCTTCTATATTTTTGTTAAATTTTTATTGATGAATATGAATAGTCTTCTAATATTTCCTATTGGTATCTATTTATACCACATTGGATATAAATGGAAGAAGATTGTGTACCTTCTAGGACCCCCTAATTCCATGAAAAGCATGCAGTCGTGCAGGGTTGCTTCTCAGACCTACTTGCATGAGCACAGATTCCCCCCAGCTCCCATGAACAAAGGATCACTTACGGTAAAGGGCAATGAGCAGCGGTGACCAACCACTGGGGGTGAATGAGAGACCCCACGCAAGGCTCTGGGCTGGACTTCAGATAGGCCATGTATGGGATATTAAAATCATCGGGTAATTCCAACTCTTTTTCATTATCATGTTTCATTAAGGCTTCTGGAGAATCAATGGATTATGGGAAGGGAATAGAAACAAGTTAGCAAACTAGATCTGGCTAGGGTAGTTTTCTCTAACTGAAGGTTTCCAAAGATAATATTAAGGTCTTTGATTTATTTTTGATATAAAATTTAGAGAACATTATAAATGCCTCAAGGTGTACCTGCTAAGGAAACTGAGGGGTGTTTTAGCTGAAATGAAATTATATCAAAGTTCTCTGAATGGGCTATTTTATGTTGATCAGAAATTCTAATTGAAAGTACTATATATTAGAAAAGCAAACAAAATAAATAAATAAAGCACTGTATGTTAGTTTTCAACATTTGCCAATACTTGAGGTATGAAATAATATACTTGGCTTTGTTAGTCAAAGGGTAACTGATAAGCCAGAATCAGCCTACCTCCTTTTCGGGTCCCACATTCTCTAATTAACATCTGCTCAGTGAAAAGGACCTGTGGTTGTGCAGGGTACATCACATGCACACATGCCCACTGAGGGGCTCCTAGGAAAGATCAGAGCCTTGGCAACAAGATTACTTTAAGTGCCCCTGACATCAGAGGAGCTCAGAGAGCACATGGTAGGAAAAATCTGTGCATAAAGAATCCTTCCTTTGGCTTCCTTCATCAGGTAATTAATTTTATCTTGAAAATGCCTCCCCATCCCATCTCACAAGCTAGGCTGTGGCTGACTACTTCCTCCAGTCACTGATCCACTTCCCTAGATGTCAACCTAGGCAGAAATCAGGCTCCAACTCACCAGCTGCACTCAAGAGAGCGAGGACGAGAAGTGTTTTCATTGCAAGCTATGATCTCTCCACAGCAGACAAGTTGGCCACGCTGTAAACTGTTCCAACAGGATCCTTGAGCAGAGTAGGTGAGGGAGAGACACTAGAAGCAGGAAGAGGCAAGTGTCTTAGAGAAATTTTCAAACTGGGCCTTCTCAAGTTCTGACTTCCTAAGAGGTATGGGCAACAACTAGGCTCCAACTCTGATGTGATGGAGAGAGAGTGGCAGATGAAACCAAGGACCTTACTGACTCCTCTGTGATCTGAGCTCAGTCTTCCCCAGGCATCATATGTCTCTGATGCCCTCTCCCTCCCGTTTGTGACACGGCCTTTCTTTGTTGTCCTTCCCCTCCCCTTGTGACTTTAAACCTGCCTCCCTGCCTCCCTTTTCAGAGTCTCTGCCATCTCTAGAGGCTCACAGAATATTGACATATAAAATACAACGCAATACGTATTTCTTTTCTTCCCTCATTTTGGTGATAAAGATGCTATGGTTTTCATGGAAGTTAGTGGTAAAATCAGGACCAGAACAAACTCTCTAGGTCCCTATGACACAACCAAGCTTTCCCTGAGCCCTGGGCTCCCAACAAAGAATAGTGACTAATAAATGCCACCCCTCATGATTTACGCCTTGGAAATGAATAAAGAACCACCTTCCATGAAACTTGTGTCAGGCCTCCTGAATGCTTTTTCTGTGATACCAGAAAAGCTTTGTATTACCCCTGGTTCTCCTGTGAGAGGTTGTTACGTTTGTACCTGCTGACAAGGCCAGACACAGACTTTCCAACTCTTCGTTCTGTTTTTCCTTTATGAATGATGAGATCGAAAGTTTGTCTCCTTGAAATTAGCTGCACTCGAAATAAACATTGTTCTATTCAGCTGACTGGGTCATTCCCTCTGATGTAAAACAAGCTTTCCTGAAAATTTCCCTGCCGAAAACTTAGTCCTATCCTTCCCATAAAGGTTTGGAGCCAAAACCACTCTGCTGGGGCAACCAAAATCTTCTCCTTACTTGGTTTCTGGTTTTTTTTCGGGGGTGGGGGGCAAAGGGGCAGCTTGTTTGTGGTTTTACTTTTGGTCTGCTGTTCTTTGCAAATGTTCTACATTCTTTTTTTTTTTTTAATAAGAAAATCTTACATGATAATTTCTGATTGTTGCCCCATAACAAATAGTTTGCAGGTTTACTTACAAACTGTATTTGGTGACAGGTTCCTCAGAAGTCCACATGGGTTTTCCACTTCATGTGTCATAGACCCAACAATGAACACTGAGATGTCGTGGGGAACCTCCAGTGTACCAACAATGGCTCATGTCAGGAGTCCCTGGACTGCATGACTTTGACTTTTCTTTTGTTTAACTCCACAGTGGGGGTTTGAATGAGAACATTCCCTCATAAGCTACAAGTGTTTGAGCACTTTGTCTTCAGTTGGGAGTGCTATTTTGGGAGGTTTAGTATGTGTGGCCTTGCTGGGGGAAGCAGGTCACTAGGGGGTGGGCTTTGGGAATTTGAAACCCTGTCCCATTTTGTTTGACACCGTGCTTCCTCAGCATGCTTGAAAACGTGACTCAGTTTTCTGCTCCAGCTGCTTCTGGCCATGCAGCCAGGCCTCCCCTGCCATGATGGACTCTCATGCCTTTGGAACCCTAAGCCAAATAAACTCGTCTATACGTTGCCTTGGTCATTTTTCTTTTCTTCTTTTCTTTCTTTTTTTTAATCACAGCAACAGAAAAGTAGCCAATTCATCAACTTTTTGTAAACTATTGATTTGGTGCATGGATACCATGAGAAATTACAACAAAAATTATATAAATGATTGAAGTTTTTCATTGATAATAAAGATAAAACAGGTCTATTGCTCATCAGATCATACGTATATATTTTCTATTTGAAGACAGCAATCCTCTTAACATCCTCAGATATTTCAGCATCCTAGCTCTTGGAGTGGGGCTGTAGTCTTTCACTTCTCTCTCTCATAGGTCCGTAGCACTCTGAAGAGTGTTGGAAACAGGACTGGTAAGGGATGAGAACACAGGAAATTGAAATAAGGCTGATTAAGTTAAAGGCAAAGTAGGTTATCCACATAGATGTTTTTGGTATTCATGTTTAGGTTGATTAAGTTAAAGTTAAAATGGGTTCTCCATGTTGATGTTTATTGATATTCATCATTTTTATGTTACTATAATAAAATATCAGAAGTAATGAACTTAAAAAAGAAAATAAGATTCAAGCTTTCTCTCCAAGATCAGGCAGTCCCTTTGCTTTGGGCTTTGACAAGGGCAATACAGTATGATGGTAGAAGAATGTCATGGAACAAGCCGAGAGAGAGAGAGAGAGAGAGAGAGAGAGAGAGAGAGAGAGAGAGGAGAGAAATTGATTCTCCTAGCTGGGAACCAAATCTTTAATCATTTAATCAATGTAGCTTTAGGGAATGATAATTTTATTAAGATGATATCATCCTTAATAGTAAGCTTTGCTAAATTACTGAGGTCTCTCAAGTGCTGGGATTTTCGAGTGATTTGTCTGCTCTTCCTTCATTTTTTTGTGTCCTTGTTCTAATTTTACATCTTGTGTATATTTCTGTTGTCTTTTCAAGTCTGGGCAAATTCCCTGTACTGAGGTAGTTAATATTAGAAATAAGTGTGGATTGGAGGTGGAGATGGAGAGGAACCAAAAATATTTCAGAACAAAAAGAGAATCTTAAATCCATTTTTATTCCTGGGAAAAATCTTGGACATTTAGTTAGGGAAGACCTGAAGCTACTTGTTTAAAGCTAGAATTTCTATACAAAATCAGTTTAGGCTTATTTGTAAACAAAAAGTTGGAGGAAACCAGGCATGCCCTAGGGCAAGATGACCCAAAACCTTTTCAAGTCCAGGCTACGTTTTCTGCTAAAGCGAGGGGCGCTGAGAACAGTATCTCTGATAATCCCTGTCTTGCAGAACACTGCGAGACTGGCAGGAGAAAAGTGGCCACATCAAAAGTGCAGGCTCCTTGCTCTGTGGGAAAGCATCTTGGTCAACAACATCTCCCTATCCTGAACAAATAACTCAGCTGTCATTAGCTAAGAGATTAGGCCAGGTTAAAGGTTTACTCCTGAGCTAAAAGCTAAAAATTTGTCATGCTTTTAGCCCTAAGAAAGGAAATAGTACAGACAATAAATTACTGGATAGGCATTAGTAACCTTGAATAAAAGTTTAAGCATCTGGCTGGTGCCAACTAACAGACTATATGTCCTGTTTCTTTGTGCCCTAAATCTTTGTATATGACTGCCATACCACACATGACTACCAGTTCCTTGTAATGTATAAAAAAATCTGAATTTTGTAATAAATGGCTTGCTTGTATGAAGGTAAATGAAAGTCCCATAGTTGTTACTCTGTCACCGATCCAGCCTCTCTGCCCCTGAAGCCAGTAGGACCCCGATGAGCAAATCAAGCCCAAGCCCTGATAAAAAGTAATTTAGTGAGAATTAAGGACATAATATTGAGATTAATTGTGATTATGCTGATTATGCATTTAATAGTCTATTGAGTTCACAGTTAAGAAACTTCTTTGGTTTCATCCTAGGGGCAATAATAAGACCACGTTTGAACTCAGAACTTATCAACTATCATCCAGTTCAAAACACTAGACAATGGGTAATGATGTAAACCAAAAATTAATGGTCACACAGCTTTTTAAATTATTTTTATTTTATGTGTATGTGTGTATTGCCTGCATGTAGGTAAGTGTACCCATGTCGTGCAATGCCCACAGAAGACAGAAGAGGCTATCGGATCCCCTGGAACTGGAGTTACGGTCAGTTGTTAGCTGCCATGTGGGTGCTGGGATTTGAACCTCAGTCTTCTGCAAAAATAGCCAGTGTTCTTAATGGCTGAGCCATCTCTCCAGCCCCATGGTCACACAGCTTTGTCACCATGGTCTTTAGGATAATATGATCCAATACTGCCCCCACTAAATCAAACCCACATTTGGGACTAATTTAACTAAGGAAAATTTTAAGCACAAATGCAGACATGCTTCTAGAAAATAAGGACATTATTTGGGGTCATAAAGATCCAAAGGTGGTTCTGATCAGTACATCCTGCGAGTACATTAACATCACACACACACTGTCTTAGTTCCTTACCAGCTGTCTCTTAAATGGTCATTATCCCACCAATCAATTGAAGAAGAGTTTTCAGTAGAAGTCTTACACATGGTTCCTGTGATTATTTTGTATGACCAGGGGAAGGACATAACAGAGAGTGGGGTCTGAGCACACATACATTGGATACCTGGAGAAACTTTGAATGAGGAGATGTAACTGCCAAGATAAAGTGAAGGAAATAAGCTCAGCCTGCTGCCACAAAACACCAGTGCTTAGGGCATTCTAACATCATGCATATCTCACACTTCTGAGGGCTGCTGAGTCCAAGGTAAGGCAAGTGATCTGTCTTTAGGAGGGCTAGCTTCCTGGTTTTCTGATGACCCTCCAACCTCAAATAATTGTGACCTCATGTGGCCTTGTGAGCTGTATCTGGATTTGTACTTACTCCATCATGGGGGCTCCCCATTTTTCAAGTTATTTGAGCCTAATTAATTCCCAAGGTTTCTCTTTTTGTACCATCTTATCCAAGGTTAAGTTTTCAAAATAGTTGGTGTATGGATATTATGTTTTACATTAAAAACATTAACCCTTCTTCAGCAAATAAAGATATCCCTTTTCTGTGCATTTGTGTTTGTGAAAAAGAATTTTTTTGTCTAGTTTTTGAAATAATAAAAGTTTCCAATATACAAATATCAGAGTAATACAAACATGCTTCCCATAGAAGAATCTGAGGACAGACATAGGAAGAGGTTTACATCATTACCCATCATCTAGACCTTTGAATTCTGGATGATATTTTGAGATAAGTTCTAAGTTCAAATGTGGTCTTGTTATTGCCCCTAGAATGAAACCAAAGAAGTTTCTTAACCATGAACTACTTATCAGTAGTTATACCACTGAAAAAGTGACACGCCCTCCCCC